ATGTAGATTGTTGGGGTTGTTCCACTACCAGCCAGCGCCCACCCCGCAGCCCTGGCTGGATTTAAGTTTCCCTGCTGGTCAGAAGTTGAGACCGCCGCGTCCTGGCGGTTCATCTTCTTCGGGCAGTCGCTCCGTATGTGCCCACGCTCTTCACATCCATAGCACATGAAGTTCCGACGGCGTGGAGGTACCTGCTCCGTTGTCGTCATTTCCCGCAGACGTAAGGTACGGGAGTTACCACGCACGGCTTCCACTTCCAATGCATGGGCCAGAGCTTCTTTCATGTTCTTGTGATGGCCCAGATGAACAGCGGCTCGTACTTCGGGGTCCCGAATACCGTCAATGAACGCTTGGAGAAGCGTGCCTTCAATCATTGACGGAGTCGACCGGAAAGCTCGACGCACAAGTTTCTCGATTTCCACGGACCATTGCTGTAGGCCCTCATTAGCACGCTGAGTACGCTCTTTTAATTGCGCTCTGTACACGTGCTCGAGGTGGCTGTCTCCAAAACGTGCCTCAAGTGCGTCGAGGAGGGCACTAAAGCTGAGATCCCCACTTGCGCCGATAGCTTCCAGCACTGAGAGCGCTTGATCACGGAGGGCCAGGATAAGGGCTGACTGTGCTTCCTTCTGAGTCCAACCATAAGCCTCCATAAGTGTCTCAAACTGTAGCTTGAACGCGGTCCAGGATGTTGTTCCGTCGTAATGGGGAATCTTAAGCCCTTTCGTTGCACTTGAAGCCGCATTCGGGGCTTCAAAAACGGCTGCAAGACGGCTTCGGCTCTTCAAAGGGCTTGGGCTTGTCACTTCCTGCTTGATTTTGGAGATCTCTTCTTCCACTCTCTCCTCTATCGCCTTGACGCGATGTTCCAACTTGCCTAACCCTTCCTCCACTTCTTGTACCCGTTCGACAGCCTTTTGCAGTCCCTTCGTGAAATCCTTATGCATGTCTTCCAAGCGACGCGCTTGCTCCTCTTGGCGGCGAGCTTGATCCTCTTTCAGCTCCCGTAGCTGCTCCGCCTGACAGCGTGCATGCTCCTCTTGGCGACGACCTTGATCTTCTTTCAGCTCCCGTAGCTGTTCTTCTTGGCGGCGCGCTTGCTCTACCATCATTTGCTGCAGCTGTAGCAGTAGATCCACCTGCACAGGCTTGGCTTCTGCATCGCTGGTTTGAGCTGCAGCACTCTCTTCCCTCACACGCTGCGCTTCTGCCATTGCACGGGTACTCACTCCTCTTACGTCCTGCGGCACTAGCGGCATTTTTCTCCAATCCCACTTCTGACACCAAATGTTACGTGCCTGACGTCACGTTCCTGACTATGCGGGCTTGGGTTACGGGATTGGATGAAATGAAACACTAATACCAGATTTCAGACTTTCTATTGCCCTTAAGTTACAGCGTCCACGGAGTTAAGTTATCGGCGTTCCTCTCCAGCAGAGTCCGGCCGACTGACACAACTTTGCCGTTCACGCTGACTTAACTCACTTAACTGACTGCACTTCACTATTTCACTGCACTTTTCTTCTTTTTCACTTCTTCCTTTTCTTCCGAATCGCTTTAGACTTAGAACTCAACTGCCAGCGGTGAGCCGCAGTTCCGCTTATATACCCCCGGTTCAGGTTCTGGAACATTCAATTTCGTTATTCTTTTTGATCGTCATGACTCCAGAACCTTCCAATAATTTCGTTACTCATTTTTATTTATTCTCCTTCTCGCTCTTTAATTTTTCATTTCTTTCACACAAATAATTCCAGAAAGTTCCACAAAACTTCCATCAACTAAAAAACTACATGTTTACGGCGGGACTCGAACTCGGGGTCTCTGTGGTGTAATCCACACGCCTTACCGATTACACCAACTCGTGTTGACAATTCACGACGAAATTTACAATCTCTAGGCAACGTTTGACAACCATCCATTGACGTCATGATGTCAAAGAGTTTGAACCACTTTTCCGTCACAATACGCTGGCAAATGAGCAGACGGATTACCTGATGGTAAGCAATCGTCGCCGCCCATGGACCGCAACACCGAAAGAGTTACGATAGCGTTGCTGGCCTTTTGGGTGGTAAGTGTTTCGTATGTTTAAAAAGTCAAAAAGTCAAAAATCATTTATTCCAATTAGACCTTTACAGGCACTTTTGAACGTCAAACAAAATATAAAATAAAAAAATAGTGTCAGTCTGTCGGTCAGTCCTCTTAGTGAAGCTATTTGCTCGTTCCAAAGTGTAGATTCCGATGGAGAAGAACGAGCAAGAAACTCCATGGTTACTCTTTTTAAATCAGTTTCACATACAGATTCCTTTTACAAACAGTTGGTTCAATTAAGTATGTGAGAACAGTGTAACACTAATATTTATTCAAATATAAAAATAAAGTAACCCTAAGGACAATAGACAGTCTGGAGCTGACCAGTCCCAACTGACGGCGCTCGTTCACGAGCATGACACGTACACCAGCATCGCCCAACTCAACCATATTATAGGGAATTAAGCGATCCAGTGCCCATGCCACCGCCAGTGTGACCTTTCAGTGAGCATGACAACTCCAAGCTGTTATAAGGACCGACATTCTGCTAGTCTAACCAATTATAATAGGTTACAGGGCACTCACATTTACAAATTTATCAAGTTATAGTTATACAATATAATGCAATTTCACTAAAATGAAGAAGTCCCGTTCAAGCAAAATCCATTGGAACGTTATTTATTTTGGTGTACGTTTGCTATCCTGTGGAGCAGGACCAGCATGTCTCCAAGCATCTTTATCTACAATGTAATCATTCAGTGTGTAGTATGCTTTTCTACATAAAGTTTTCTTTACACATAATTTAAAATTTCTTTCATTTAATTGTTGTATTTCGCCTGGGATTTTGTTTATAACATTTAACACAGAATCCCATGAACGACTTATGTACCTTTGCCAATCTAAATAATGGCTGACATAATCTATCTCTATGTCTAGTTTGATAATTATGTCTATCTGACACCTTATCGAATATTTTTAAGTTTTTCCTAACATACATAATGTTTTCATAAATAAACTGACATGGCACGGTCATAATATTGATCTCTCTAAACTTTTCTCTAAGAGACTCACGACGCCTTAGATTGTAAATAGCTCTGATGGCACGCTTTTGCAAGACAAAGATAGACTCAATGTCAGCAGCCTGTCCCCACAACAAGATGCCATACGACATAATGCTATGAAAGTAGCCGAAGTACACCAGTCTTGCAGTGTCCACATCTGTTAGCTGTCGGATCTTCCAGACAGCAAATGCTGCAGAGCTCAACCGTCCTGCCAGAGATGTGATATGGGGCCCCCATTGTAGTTTGTCATCTATGGTTATACCCAGAAAAGTAGTTTGTTTTACAAATTCCAATTTATTACCGTTTAATAATATGTCACATTCGGTACTTTTAACATTTGGCAAACTGAATCGTATACATTTAGTCTTTTTGTCGTTTAGGACTAAATTATTAATTGTAAACCAATTATGAACCTTCGTTATAGCATTATTTACGTCGTCATAATTATCTGTCCGTCTATTTATTTTAAAAATCAACGATGTGTCATCAGCAAATAATACCATTCCCGGTTCACGTTGAAATAAATGAGGTAAATCATTTATGTACACTAAAAACAGGAAAGGACCTAATATTGAGCCCTGTGGTACGCCCATAGATATGCTAGTACCCTGGGAGTTCACTTTATTTACTTGTACTTTGAACTGCCTATCCTGCAGGTATGATTTTAATAAATTGAGAGATACCCCTCGAATGCCATAGTGTTCCAACTTCAGCAACAGTGTCGTGTGTTCAACGCAATCAAAAGCTTTAGACAGGTCACAAAAAATCCCAATAGCGTCGTTTGACTTTTCCCATGAGGCAAAAACATGCTTAAGTAGAGCTACACCGGCGTCAGTTGTGCATCGACCCTTGGTAAACCCATATTGTTGGTCATGAAAGATGGAATTTATGTTAAAGTGTCGTAGCATCTGAGAAAGCATTAGCTTTTCAAACACTTTACTAAGCACTGGTAAAATTGATACCGGCCTATAATTATTGGGATCATTGTCATCGCCAGATTTAAACAACGGAACTACCTTGCTAAGTTTCATCAAATTTGGAAAAACACCCTGATCTACACTTTTATTAAAAATTACAGCTAAGTAAGGCGCTATAGCTTCTATAAAAGACCTACACACCACAACAGACATTCCCCATAGATCCTCTGTAGACTTAACTTTTATGTCTTTAAACGCCTTTATTACTGATTGCGGGTCCGTGTACTGAAATCGGAAGCCAGAACGGCATTCTTTAACATTTCTTTTAAGAAGACTAATAGAAAGTGCCGGAGATGATTCTAAGTCTTTCGTAGTTTTAATGGGGATAGTTTTAAGGATTGGAGAGGGATGGCGGAGACGAAGGATTGGGCCCCCGGTAACCTCACTCACACGGCGAAACACAACGCTGAAGCTGTTTCACGCCGGTTTTCTAACCGAAAAAAGCAAGCACAGCATTGTATCCACGGCAGGGTGGAATGGCACCGTTGTGGCTTGAAGAGAGCTTTCCTCAATTAAAGTAATTCACGTAATTAATGTTTTATTAATTTTCAATAAACTATCTGCATAGTTATTTAAGTGTGGGAGAGCCAAGCTTCGGCATGAATGGGTCGGCTCAACCAGAGTTATACCACGGCCTCTCAGAAAACCGGCGTGAAACAACCACAACGTTGTGTTTCACCGTGCGAGGGAAGTTACCGGAGGTCCAATCCTTCCCCCACCCTCATCCCTTCCCAATCTTAAATATCAAAAACCGTAATCCTTAAAAGACCGGCAACGCACTCTTTACTCCGTTGGTGTTGCGGGTGTCCGTGGGCTGCACCGATTGCTTACCATCAGGCAATAAACATAAATAAAGCATGAAATAAAAAAATAGTCAGTTCGTCAGCTCGTTTGCCGTTCTATTTCACAAAAGACCTGATGGTCTTTCGCATACCTGGTAAACAAATGGAAGAATACTTGTCTTTCAGGATCAAATCTTCTAGCTTCTATCAGGTCGCTGGCCTTCCACCACAGGTCTACTACCTCTGCGCCATCAGGCCCCACCACATACTGGTACCGAGGACCAGGGTCTGCTTTCATTATGACATGATCTACTGGCAAAGCTAGAAAAGACAGAAACATTTTAAAATAAAAGACGAGCGTTAAAATTAATGAAAACGTCAATATGAGAGCCGTTGGTGAGTGGGTCGCCTGATTTCGAGATTTTTTAGTGAATTTATCATACTAATATTATAAAAAGGTAAAATTAGTAAGTTTGTATGTAGGGGGTAATCTTTGGAACCGCTGGTCGGCTTGCCAAAATTCTTTCACTGATACATAGCTACAATGTTCCTGAGTGCTATAGGCTATAAAACATCACGCGACGATTAAATGGAGCCGAGCAGCGTGCGAAACCTCGCGAGAATAGCTAGTATTATAATACAGTGTTTTGTTTTTTTGAATTGAATAAGTTAGACAGATAAACTCCGAAACTATTAATACGGTAGTTTCCAACTAGTCGAATTAAATACTTTTATCCAAACGTCAAAAACGATACTCTTCTATGAAATTTGTATGAAAAACTGAGCTATGACGTCAAAACATTTTTGCGTCAAATAGCTTACTTATTTCTTAATTATTAGCTAAAAAAATCTAAAACTTAGTGTATCGATCGATCGATGAATAAAAGTATAGTTATTTTTCAATATTTTATAGTGTTAATACATCGAATTAATTTATTTTTGACCTAGGAAACTACTTAATTCTTTCACTGATGTACACTATTTTACAATATCCTCGGCTTTGCACGGGAGCAAAGCTAATAATTAATATATAGGTACATTCACTATTTAATGGATGTGTATTAAGTGGATGATGGATCTATCTGAGCTGAGCAGCGGGTGAAACCACGCGAGAATAGCTAGTTATACATATAAACCTTTCTATTCAATCACTTTATCTACTAAAAAAACCGCATCAAAATCCGTTGCGTCACGGACAGAGAAAGCGACTTTGTTTTTAACCGACTTCCAAAAAGGAGGATGCCAAGTAAATGCTACATACCAAACAACAACAGTATTAGAAAAATATATTGCTCGGTACCTACTAATCATCAAACTAGCAAGAGGTATGTAAGTAATATCTTTACACTGTTATAGTTTTACTTGGCACCGACTTCAAAATTATAAAATAGTTACTAAATATTATTTTCTAGATGAAAATATGTATTACTTTAAAAGTAAATTTATTTTTTGCTTTTTAGTTTACTTTTTGAAGACGGTTTTTTTTTTGTTAAAGTTTTTTTTTATACTATTTTTTTTTTGTGAGGGTAAAATCTTCAAATGACTTCTCCCGCCTAGGGCCGGGCAGGAGGGAGTGTCAGACTCTTACTGACTAAAAACTCCCCTGTTCCTTCTCCTGCTCTGTGCCGAGGTCGCGGTGCCTCATTGCGCTTACCCCGCAATCCCGGCTGAACATCAGCCCTATGGGGCCCCTCTGTGGTGGTCTATTGGATCTTTGAGGCGCGCGCGGAACGCTACGTGCCGTACGCTCGGGCACTATGTAGTGAGAGTTTACCTGCCTACTAATTATGACGTGATATATTGTTATGTTTTTATGATAAAAAAATATCTAAGTATGTAGATATGTCGATACACGTTCGTTAAGATAAGATTTTAACGATTGATATTAATAAATTGTTGATAAAAATAGGGATGTGGGATTGTGGGAATGCCCATTTTAACAAAACGTCACTTGTTTACTTTTAATGGATCGCGTCACCAAAATTTTTGTGTGGGACAGCCATGCTTCGGCACGAATGGGTCGGCTCGACCGGAATAATACCACGGCTTCACAGAATAACGACGTGACACATCCACAGCGTTGTGTTTCGCCGTGTGAGTGAGGTTACCGGTGGCCCAATCCTTCCCCTCCCCCGATCCCTCCAATACCTAAGTCTCCAAATCCCTAATCCCCTAAAAGGTCGGCAACGCACTCGTAACTCCTCCGTTGCGGTTGTCCATGGGCGGCGCTGATTGCTTACCATCAGGTAATCCGTCTGCTCGTTTGCCGACTTATTACATTAAAAAAAAAAATTAACATCTCTGACGTTGCTTGGTCAGAAAGCCGCCTCAAGTGGAACTGGGCTGGACAAGACATGTTTGCCGCATGTCAGACGAGCGGTGGGCAAAACTTATTACCGAATGGAGCCCATACAACGCTAACAGACACCAAGGCAGGCCCAGAAGGAGATGGCGGAACGAACTTCCCCTACCCCGATCCGTTCCCTTTCCCAAAATCTCCAAATCCCTAATCCCTAAATGTCGACAACGCACTCGTAGCTCCTCCGTCGTTACGGGTGTCCATGGGCAACACTGATTGCTTACCATCAGGTAATAAGTTTGCTCGTTTGCCGACCTATCACATAAAAACAAACTTGATGTCTTCGACGAGGATTGGCCGCAGAAAGCTTTGTGTAGAGTGGAGTGGAAGAAGGGTAGGAAGGCCTTCGCCCTGCAGTGGGATAATAACGGCTTATAAAAAGAAAAATAAAAATCTCATTACTGAAGAAAAGAAGGTTCGACGTCGAAAACAAAAAAAAGTTTGTGGTGAACACGTCCGAAACTGATGAAAGCTGCAATTGAAGAGATACCTACGTAAAAAAGATAGAGAGAGCTATCATAAAAAGAAAGAGACAGGTGAAATCAAGACATGCTTGATCGTAGGACGAGACCAGGCGAAATAGCGGCCAAATGTATGACCAATAAAAAAAACAACCATACTGATTACCTTATAGTAAGTAATGACTATGACCGCTGGGGTAAACGTGTTCTAGAGTGGAGACCACGTTTAGGCAGCAGTGCGGTTTTTTTAATAGATAGAGTGGTTAAAGAAGAAGAAGTTTTAGGTATATGTATATTACATCCATTCAATAGTGAAGATATTTAGTACTAGCTGCTCTCACACGGTTTCACCCGCTGCTTGGCTGCTATTGGCCGTTGCTATGTTTTATAGCCTATAAGCCTTCGTTGATAAATAGATTAAGTAATACAAAAGGATTTGTTCAAATCAAATGAGTAGTTCTTGAGATTAGCTCGTTCAAACAAACAAACTCTAAAGCTTTATAATATTATAATAAAAAAAGTATAGATCAGCTTTGCACCCGTTCGAAGTTGGGGCCGCTAGTAGTTCTCTTAGGTAGATATTTATCATCATCAGCAGGTTAGAGCATTAATCACCATTAATGCTCTAACCTTCTCCGTGTGAGAAGAGGCCTTTGCTCAGCAGTGGGTACTTATAGGCCACGCATGCTCAATGCGGGTTGGCGATTTCAACTTTATAATTAGAATTTAAATTATAAGTCCAGGTTTCCTCACGATGTTCACCTTCACCGTATGTCAGTGGTGTCTAAATAATCATAGAAAGTACATGTAACTCGGAAAAAGTCACATTGGTACTTGTCAGGTTTCGAACCATGCATGAGACCACACCCTCATGCATGAGAAGCGGGCTCCTTAACCTACGGGGAGATATTTATATTAAAGTTTCATACCTGAAGAAACAGCTAATAAAGCCAAGAAAACACCAAACGCAGACGCTGCCATTTCCATGGGAAACCAAATCGACAATAGAAGGAAAAAGCGAATTACAAGAACTATTTATGTTTTTGATTTAGAACAGTATAATTTATCTATGACAATCTTAATTCTAGATTATTAACTTTATAAGAAGCGAATACCTACCTATATAATTATAATGTAAAAAAAACAAATCTGTGATTGTATTTTTATAGACAGGATGTTTTCTTGATGAATTAATGAATAAATATTAGTGTTACACTGTTCTCACATAATTGAACCAACTCTTTGTATAAGGAATCTGTATGTGAAACTGATTTAAAAAGAGTAACCATGGAGTTTTTTGCTCCGAGTCCGGCCTATAAACGCAATAAGGCACCGTAGCCTCGGCCTAAAGCAGGACAAGGAAAGGGGCAGGAGGGATGGTTACCTCACGCCTCATGGAAGAAGCCATTCGATGATATTCCCCTCACAAAAAATTATAGTGAGTGAGTGTATTTAAAGTGAGATATCGGCACATAACGTTAGCGACTATAAATACAATACAAAAAAAAACTCAAGTGTTATTTCATAAAGCGCGCAGTAGATGGCGCTCTGTAGTTTTTGGCACCGCCATGGTATAAAAGCGAAAGTTTATAAATGTACAGTACGGCCGCTGTATCTTTGCGAGTCTGAAGTTAGCCGTTTGTCTGCGCAATGGATCTTTTAGGAACAAAATTGTTTACTGCGCAGCTAATCGGCTAACTTCAGCACGTCGATTCTATAAAATTTGTTTGATTTTGAATCGGGTTCGAGTGCGAAGTGAGCGTCGAAGTGACGGGTAAATTATATTTTTGAATGCCACTTTTAACGTCATCTCATACTTTATCTATCAAAATGATGCTGTCAATTTAGTTCAACTCGCAAGTGTAGCGCTAGTGTACTACTATTCACAGCGGATTCAGATTCGAAGTTTAGAATGAAGTCTTACAGAATCACACCCCAGACTTGCCAAGATACGTCGGCGATATTGTAAGCAACCTGTATACAACAGTTTGATAACTAAGCATGCCGCGTCATATCACCATTAGGTACGTATTCGAGTAATCAATCAATATAATAGTAAACACGGGGAAACCACGCGATTGCGCGATTCTGACTGACTATCAATATTAAGATCATGTTCCATTCATGTTCTACGCGTTGGCTTCTCAGTTCGAAACCTGGCCACCAATGTGGCTTTAACCGCAAACGGATTACCTGATGGTAAGCAATCAGCGCCGCTCATGTACACACGCAACAACGAAGGCGTTTCGAGTGCGTTGCTGAACTTTTGGGGATTTGGGATTTGGGAAATTTAGGGATTGAGAAGGGATTGGACCTCCGGTAACCGATTTTCTCGTGAGAAAATCCGAACTTAGAAGTTTGAAATCACCAAATCCGCCATGAGCAAGCGTGGTGGTTAATGGTCAAAACTTTTCTGTGGATCGAAGGAACAGGTCCTTGGTAAGCAGATACTCGCAATACCTACTTAAAATTTTAAGTGTGGGAGAGCCATGCTTCGGCACTAATGGGTCGGCTCGACCGGAGTGATACCACGGCCTCACAGAAAACCGGCGTGCAACAACCACAGCGTTGTGTTTCGCCGTGTGAGTGAGGTTACCGGATGCCCAATCCTTCCCCTCCCCCGATCCCTCCCAATCCCTAAATCTCCAAAACCCTAATCCGCAAAAGGTCGACAACGCACTCGTAACTCCTCAGATGCGAGTGTCCATGGGCGGCGCTGATTGCTTACCATCAGGTTATTCGTCTGCTCGTTTGCCGACCTATTACATAAAAAAAAACATTGAACAGACTGCCCAGTCCAGGGGTGGGCCAGGGCCAGGGAAATCATTCTTCACTCAGAAAAAACTTAGCCATAGGTAAGTCCTAAGTGATATTTTCAGTTTTCCTCAATATATGTATAATCAGATAACTGTTCAGTCTAAATAATTTTAGGTAAATTACCTTTTTCTCGAAATCGTTCATTTAATTGTTTTGTAATCTAGATTAATTACTGATAGCTATGTGTACTTAAACTTTATCTAACGTTTAAAAAGCGTTTGTGCCGCCCGAGTTTTCATACTCGATTTATAAGTCAACAACTTGGAAACTACTGGACCGATTATAGCGAAACTTGTATTCATACGCGAATTATATCAATGTCTAGTTACTTAATTAGCTATAGCACTCAGGAACATTGTAGCTATCTATCAGTGAAAGAATTTTGGAAATCCGACCAACGGTTCCAAAGATTAACCCCTACATACAAACTTACAAATTTTACCTCTTTATAATATAAGTAATACATAAGAATGCAAATTTCGTATTGCAACCTATAATATGAGCAACTGCAAAAGTTTTAGAGGCATTGTACCTTTTTTTATATTATTTTAATAAAAACGTATTCTTATAAGAAACAGTGTACGAATGACTCGTCAAACTTCCCACCAGAATTCCCGTTTTCACTGGAAACTTTATTAATCTGTCACAGTTGACAGATGACAGCGTCAACACGGCAGCAATTTTTTTTTTGGAGTTTATGGGCTGGATACAATTCCTTTAAGCCAAACACGACAGCTAGTGTTGCCGAGAACACAGATTAAATTAGTGACGTTTACTTGATTTTTGTCGTCTAACCTAACCTAACCTACGTATCTACTGAGTTTTTCCCATGCATTTTGACAAGGTTTAAATTCTTATTATAACTTTCGTGAGACATTCTAAATTAATTATTATGTTTTCGGCTTACGTAATAATTTGACGAGATACTCGAATAATTTCAAGCCATGCTAGAGGCCCATATTCAATGCTGAACGCTGCTCATGAATATGGGCCTCTAGCATGGCTTGAAACTAGTAGAGCATCTCGTCAAATTATTACGTGAGATTTAAATTCCTTTTAAACGTTACATTCTAATGCCTATTTCTCATTAACGGTTGGGTGTAAAGATTGAAAAAAAAAATATATGTTTACTGTAGATTCATGTACTACAATGTAAGTTAATTTGATTTTCTTATGACAAATAGTTACACTACACTACCCATGGCCAAGACCCTTGTGTGATAAGACTGCCCATTGTAATCACAACATTCGGTCATAGTATCCAATGTATTGCTACTTGGTAAAAATATTTTCCAACACGCTATTTTGTTCAAATAGGTAAATATCTATTCCTTCTAAATGGCTTAATTTTTTTTTAATAGATCAATCGGTGTTCAATTTTACTACAAAGTCGGTAGCACTCATGTAAACCAGTCAATATTTTATAAAAAACATGTTATATTATTGGGATTTCCATATATAAAAAGCGGGCGAACGCAGCTCGCGCCAGTCGTGCGTTAGCATGCTCGAGGTTATTGAGGGTAGGTACTATACGCCTTAAGGACAAGTATGTATCAAGGGACGATCTCCAGCCACCGTAAGCGCGGGTCTGCGGTCGGCGAGTAAGGGTAGCTCGCCGCCCGACCAGAACCAGACCCGAGCGTACGGCGCGCAGCGTTCTGCGCGCGCTTCAAAGAGCGAATAGACCACCACAGACGGGGCCCTATAGAGCTGATGTTCAGCCGGGGTTGCGGGGTAAGCGCAATGAGGCACCGCCACCTCGGCCCAGAGCAGGAGATGGAACAGGGGGGTTTCTAGTCAGTAAGAGTCTGACACCTCCCGCCCGGCCCTGGGCGGGAGAAGTCATTTGATGATTTTCCCCTCACAAAAAAAAAGGACAAGTATGTATGAAAGCTTGGCTCACGTAAACGATCTTAATAACTTACGCGCGTCGATTTTGCAGCGTGAAATGTATCTCAAGTTTCTTATACCTACCTTATTTTGGTAATACATGGATATAAACTTTCCTTTGTCGTTATTTCAAAAATCTCAACTGTCGTGGTGGCCCGGAGGTTAAGGAGCCCGCTTCTCATGCATGATCCGAAACCTGGCAAGTACCAATGTGACTTTTTCCGAGTTTGGGGTACTTTCTATGGTTATTTAGACACCACTGACGTCCGGTGAAGGTACGGTACGGTGATTTAAGCATACCTACATAGAGAGATATAGGGACAGAGAAAGCGACTTCGTTTTATACTACAAATCAAATCAAAATTAAAACAAAATCATTTATTCCAACTAAACCATAAATAGGTACTTTTGTAACGTCAAAATAGAATAGTAGTCTGTCAGTCTGTTCGTTAGTGAAGCTAGGTGCTCGTTCCAAATTGTAGTTTCGAATGGAGAAGAACGAGCAAGAAACTCCATCGTTACTCTTTTTACACATGCAAAAGTAGTATTTTAACTATTAATAATCAATTTTACTATCTATCCTTTTATCATAATTAATCTGTTTCCGTTCTCCACAGGTTAAAGTTCTCTTCATGTCACTTAGCTGATCCAATCACAGCGAATTAGAGATGCGTATTTCGGATCTAGAAGGAAAATAATATCAGTTTTTAATATAATCTGTCGTTAGACGTAGTAAATTTATCGAAAACTAGCTACTCCCGCGCGGTTTCACTCGCTGCTCGGCTCCATTTAATCGTAGCGTGATATTTTACAGCCTATAGCAATCAGGAATATTGTAGCTACTCGTATCTATCAGTGAAAGAATTTTGGCAATCCGACCAGCGGTTCCAAAGATTCTACATATACATACATATACATTCAATCCCTACATAAAAACTTACAAATTTTACCTCTTTAAAATATTAGTAGGTATTGATGACGATGCGCAACCAACTGAACTTGGCCACGTAAAATTCGCCAATATCTATTCAACATTTTTGTGTAACTATATACCTTAATAATTTATAGACGAAAAAGAAAAACGACCGGCGAAGACGGATTTAGAATCACCTGTCGCACCATTCGTCGTTGTAGCGAATTCGCTCCTTTTGGACAAGCTCTAAGGGTCCCGTTGTAATTTGAGACTAGTAGAGCTATGTATTCTCAGTTATTGCACGTGATTAAGTCGTTATTTCAATAAAAAATAATATCGGTTTCAGATATGGCTTTCATCAAATCACATCATCAGACTATAAGTGCCCACTGCTGAGCAAAGGCCTCTTCTCACACGGAGAAAGTTTGAGCATTAACCACCACGCTTGCTTAATGCGGGTTGGCGATTTCAAACTTATAATTAGAAATTATAAGTCCAGGTTTCCTCACGATGTTTACCTTTACCGCATGACAGTTGTGTCTAAATAACCATAGAAAGTACATATAACTCGGAAAAAGTCACATTGGTACTAACCAGGTTTTGAACCCTTATGTATCCTCATGTATGAAGCCACCACGATGGTATGGGTTTACCAACTGATAATTTCGGTTATGGGTATTAGATTTTTTATGTGGTAAGTGGTCGTGGTGGCCCGGAGGTTAAGGAGCCCGCTTCTTATGCATGAGGGTGTAGGTTCGAAACCTGGCAAGTACCAATGTGACTTTTTCCGAGTTATATGGACGTTCTACGATTATTTAGACACCAGTGACATACGGTGAAGGGTTCGAAACCTGGACTTATAATTTCTAATTACAAGTTTGAAATCGACAACCCGCTTTGAGCAAGCGTGGTGATTAATGCTCAAAACTTCTCCGTGAGAGAAGAGGCCTTTGTTCCGCAGTGGGCACTTATAGGCTGATGATGATGATGAAGATTCGGTTCCGATTATCAAGAAACATAACATCCCTAAAGCCACACAGCGGATATCATCACGCTATATACCTACCTATCTAAATCATTAATTACACCTTAATTAGATAATATTCTAATAGACAAAATTATCTAATAGCTACTTACCTATTTGGCAAGATAAACATCACATTGACAAGCCGTGATATCCCATAGCTGGACGTTGGACCTCCTTTACGAAAGATCCGAGTGATCACCACGCTTAATTGTACATAGATAGTAGTTTAAAAGCCAAGGTTCAGTTTTATCAGAAGCGTTGCTATCCAGTTTTTTTGAGCTGAATAATTACCTGATGATATGCAATCCTCACATTTACAAAATTTAAATTTGTAAATGTGAGTGCCCTGTAACCTACCTATTACAATTAGTTAGACTAGCAGAATGTCGGTCCTTATGTCAGCTTGGAGTAGTCATGCTCACTCAAAGGTCACATTGGCGGTGGCATGGTCACTGGATCGCTCGATTCCCTATATTATGATTGAGTTGGGCGATGCTGGTGTACGTGTCATGCTCGTGAACCGGCGCCGTCAATTAGGACTGGTCAGCTCCGGACTGTCTGTTGTCCTTAAGATTATTTTCTTTTTATGTTTCTCTGTAACACGCGTTACACTGTTCTCACATAATCAAAACAACTAAATAATGTATCAAAGAATCTTTATGTGACACTGATTTAAAAAGAGTAACCATGGAGTTTCTTGCTCGTTCTTCTCCATCGGAATCTACACTTTGGAACGAGCGAATAGCTTCACTAAGAGGACTGACCGACAGACTGACACTTTATATCTTTAAATTTTTGTGTGACGTTCAAAAGTGCCTGTATGGGTCTAATTAAAATAAATGATTTTGACTTTGACTTTGACAATCGGCTTTGCTTACCGACACTCGAAATACCAGAGAGTTACGAATGCGTTGCCTTCCTTTTGGGGAGTGGGTTTTCGGCGATTTAGTGATTGGGTTATGTAACCTCACTCAGATGGTGATACCCAGATCTGTGGATATTTCACTCTGGTTTTCTGTGAGGCTGTGCTATCATTTCAGTTGAGCAGATCAGCGCATAAGTGCCCACTACTGAACAAATTCCTTTTTTTTAACCCCCGGCGCAAAAAGAGGGGTGTTATAAGTTTGACGTGTCTGTCTGTGGCATCATAGCTTTTGAACGAATGAACCTATTTAAATTTAGTTTTTTGTATTACAGGTGTTTTATGGGCGAGTGTTATTAGAAAATCGATTAAGCCTTTTAAAAATTATGGGGTGTTAGGTAAAGTGGGGAAGAAAAACCGAATGTGCTCAAGTGGGGTATCAAATGAAAGGTTATGACTTGTACGTCGCAAAAAACAAAAACTTTAATAAGTTTGACGTGTCTGTCTGTGTGTCTGTGGCTTCATAGCTCCTGAACGGATGAAACGATTTTAATTACGTTTTTTTATATCTGTTGCTGACCTTTTGGGGATTTGAAGATTAGGCTTCTAGTAACCGCTCACATGGCTATTAATGTGGCTGTATTACGCTGGTTTTCTGAGGGAGTGATATCACTCCGGTCGAGCCGGCCCATTTGCGCCAAAACATGGGTCTTTCACACTTGAAAATTATTAAATATCTCACGAGAGTTTTTGTACAGTGTAACATTAATGATTTTATTGTGATTTTTACAAGGTGAATAATAGAAATTTTAGATTCTTTGAAAGTAGATATATATGAGGATAGGTATAAAAAAAAACACGTAAATAGTTTTAATTGTTTATTTTTCTCTTCGTAAAAAATTGTTTTTATACATCTTACATATTCAAAACTACACTTTTGATCAACATTTCATTTAAAAAAACACATTTTTTCATTGATAAAATGTAACCAATGTACTATTTCAGACTATAATCTATATCCGTGACAAATTACATTCAGATCCGTTCAGTAGTGTTTACATATGTACTTGAAAGAGTAACAAACATTCACCCAGATCCACCAATAATTACTGGTATATTTTTGCATGTAATTTCAAACACAACATTCATATGCGACTAGCTTCCACCCGCGGCTTCGCACGCGTAATAAATAGTACCTAATATATCTAGGGATTTTAAACAGGTTTAAAGCGATAACTCGACTTGTATACAAATCAAGTACATATGAAAAATACCTACTACCTATCAGTGAAAGAATGGAGTTTCTTGCTCGTTCTTCTCCATCGGAATCTACACTTTGGAACGAGCAAATAGCTTCACTAGAGGACTGACCGACAGACTGATACTTTATATCTTTAAAATTCTGTTTGACATTCAAAAGTGCCTGTAAAGGTCTAATTGAAATAAAGGATTTTTAACTGTTGCCTTTATTCATTTAGGGCTAATTTTTGAATAGTCAGATAAATGTTATCTGAGAAATAAAATTGTTGCTGTCACTGTCTTATACAAACATTGTGACGCGACAGCATCATAATTATTTTTCTCCAGGTAACTTTTATCTAACCATTGAAAAATCAGCCCTAAAATTTTGGATTCATTGGACTCGTGCGAAGCCAAGACGAGTCGCTAGTTTAGATTTATATTTTTGATAGATTATAGTCAGGAATAACGCATAGGTAATTTTTTCCCTGGTTTTGCTTAGTAAGTAAATAAAAATAACAATTAAAATTAATATGGCATAATAATAATAATTTGTAGCACTAATCAGTTCTTAACTTACGTAGTGATGTTATAAGGAGCAGACGGATTACCTGATGGTAAGCAATCAGCGCTGCCCATGGACATACACAATGCCAGAGGAGTTAAGAGTTATTTGCTGGCGTTTTAGGGGATTTGGGATGAGGAGAAGGGAGGATTGGGCCTCCGGTAACCTCACTGACATGGCGAAATGAGAATCAAGGATTTTGACACGAAAGAATTTTGTTGGACCAAATACGAAAGTATCTACTAAGCTTAAATATTCAGTCTATCATAAAATTAAGACAAATCATTACCATGCTTTGAAGTCTTCGACAATTTTTTCATGTTGACATATCGGCAAACGAGCAGGCGGATTACCTGATGGTAAGCAATCAGCGCCGCCCATGGTCATACACATCACCAGAGAAGTTAAGAGTGCGTTGCCGACCTTGTTTCCGAGATTCAGGGATTTGGAGAGGGAAAGGATTGGGCCTCCGGTAACCTCACTCACACGGCGAAACACAACGCTGTGCTTGTTTCACGGCGGGTTTCTGTGAGGCCGTGGTAACACTCCGGTCGAGCCGAAGCATTCTCTCTCTTGCTATCCCATACATAGTAGATAGAATTGAATCTATATAATATATCTCTCTCTCTCTCTCTCTCTCTCTCTCTCTCTCTCTCTCTCTCTCTCTCTCTCTCTCTCCCCCTCCCCCTCTCTCTCTCTCTCTCTCTCTCTCTCTCTCTCTCTCTCTCTCTCTCTCTCTCTCTCTCTCTCTCTCTCTCTCTCTTGCAAGTGCGTTGCCTCTTGATGGTTATAAGAGATTTAAGGATAGAGGATTTGAGGATTAAAGATGGTGGGCAAGGTGAAGGTGGGAAATGATTGGGACTCCGGCAATTTTTTTTTTATTTAAAAACAATATTTTGTCCAATCTCAATAGGTTGTATATGAACTATGTTGAGATTTCCGCCGATATTCTGTTGAAAATACTGCATGCGATTCGTCAACTCGATTCCTGGATAGGGCTCCTCCTTTTTCACTGGTGGGGCGGCGCGTTGAGTCTGTGGAGGAAATTGTAGGATTAGGATTAATTTTAGAGGAATGAGTGAATAATTGAAGTTTTTAGTACGAGTGAATGATTGAAGTTTAGAGAATGAGTGAATTACTGAAGATTGAAGATCGAGTGAAGGATTACAGTTTAGAAAATAAGTTTTTTTTTTATTTAATAAGTCGGCAAACGAGCAGACGGATTACCTGATGGTAAGCAATCAGCGCCGCCCATGGACACCCGCAACGGAGGAATTACGATTGCGTTGCCGACCTTTTAGGGATTTGGGATTGAGGAGGATTGGGGGCGGGGAAGGATTGGGCCTCCGGTAACCTCACTCACACGGCGAAACACAACACTGTGGTTGTTTCACGCCGGTCTTCTGTGAGGCCGTGGTATCACTCCAAGTGAATGATTTAGGTTTAAAGAACGGGTCAATGTGAGTTTAGACAATGACCGATCTATTGAAGATTGAATAATGTTTGAATGACTGAAGTTAAATGAAGTTTATGACTGCACCTTTGGCGCTTTAGGCAACTGGCTGCCGAGCAACGTGTCGCGGGTTCGATTTCCGCACGGAACAAGTCTTTGTGTGATCCACAAATTGTTGTTCCGGGTCTGGATGTGATGTGTATGTGACATTGTATGTTTGTAACCGCACCCACGACACAGGCGAAAGTCCTAGTGTGGAAGACTTACCTTAGCTTTCTTGTTATCATGCATCATTTTCATATGCTTGTAGATACTAGTTTGCCACATAAACGTGGCGGGACAGAGCTTGCATTTGTAAACCTTGCTGTTTGATCGCTTCGTGTGCATCGCCCATACATGTCCTTTTAGGCGTTTTACTGTCTGCAAAAGGATAAACACACATTATTACCTTATAAGTGCATAGGCCTCTTCTCACACGGAGAAGGTGGAGAAGATGGAGAAGGAGGATTCATCGTTTTTTTATGGCATAGGGCGGCAAACGAGCCGACGGATTACCTGATGGTAAGCAATCAGCGCCGCCCATGGACACCCACATCAACAGATGAGTTACGATTGCGTTTAGGCTAGCTAGCTTCTGGGGTTTAGGGATTCGGGAGATTTGGGGATTGGGGAGGGGAAGGATTGGGTTGGGATGTTTGTGATAATGATGATGATCAACACAATTTGTTTCGCAATTAAGGTAACTTAATTACTATTACGGTAATTAAGTTATCGACCTTTTGTGTGTGAAGAGGATTTCAGGATTAAATATGGAAACCGAATCACACGGCGTTTTAAAACTTAAGTAGTATAGTTAGTGTGGGAGAGCCATGCTTCGGCACGAATGGGTCGGCTCGACCGGAGTGATACCACGGCCTTACAGAAAACCAGCGTGAAATAACCACTGCGTTGTGTTTCGCCGTGTGAGTGAGGTTACCGGAGGCCCAATCCTTCCCCTTCCCCAATCCCTCCTCAATCCCTAAATCTCCAAATCCCTAATCCCTAAAAGGTCGGCAACGCACTCGTAACTCCTCCGTTGCGAGTGTCCATGGGCGGCGCTGATTGCTTACCATCAGGTAATCCGTCTGCTCGTTTGCCGACCTATTACATAATAAAAAAAAAAAAAAAAAAAGTTAAGTGTGGGAGAGCCATGCTTCGGCACGAATGGGTCGGCTCGACCGGAGTGATACCACGGCCTCACAGAAAACCACAGCGTCGTTTCGCCGTGTGACTGAGGTTACTAGAGGCCCAATCCTTTCCCTCCTCCAATTCATCTCCAAATCCCCGATCCGGGTGTCCATGGGCGGCGCCGATCGTTTACCATCAGGTGATCTGTCCGCTAATTTTCCGGTATACCATAAAAAATACCTAACCTAATATAATTATTTTTTGTGAGGGGAAAAACATCAAATGACTTCTCCCGCCCAGAGCCGGGCGGGAGGGAGTGTCAGACTCTTACTGACTAAAAACCCCCTGTTCCTTCTCCTGCTCTGGGTCGAGGTCGCGGTGCCTCATGGCGCTTACCCCGCAACCCCGGCTGAACAACAGCCCTTTAGGGCCCCGTCAGCCTAGCGCAACTTAGAAGAAAAATAAAAATGTATGGGCTTGGCACGGCAAATAATGGCACACGGAAGTAGCCGGATATTGCCATCCCACTCCCTCAGTACAGTTCTCTTTCTTTCACTAATCCGTCGGCCATTTTGTTTGAAGTTTTGAACTTTGAATGTCGTTGCTTTTGTAAGTTTATGTTGTTATTTTCATAATTTCATAAATTTACGTATAATTTGTTTAGTTAATTAGTGGTTAGTGATACGGCTGTGACTAGTTACGTGTTCAAGTAAAATGCCACCAAAAAAACGGTTTCTAACTTGTGAAATCTGCGGAGGACGATCCGGTCGTAAAAATGGCGAGAAAAGGATGTTTATGGCGAAATTTCCTTTGGATGAGGACCGGTAAGCATTAAATGATATAATTTTATTTAATTCTAAGTATAAAAGGCTACAAATACATGTAAATTGATTTTCATGTACTTATTGTGTACTAGTGATGTACCTCAAGTATCGATAGTCACAGACTTATGTGTGGGCTAAACTCCTTGATTTATTTATTCTTTCGTGATTTACTTTCCAGACCACACCAAAGAAGTAATGATGTTATTAGATGTTGTTGAACAAAGTTGTGACACGACAAACCCAGTAGATTTTAAGAAATTAATGATTAAACGTAGATAAAAATTTTATGTATACTGTATTCGTAAAATTTATGCATTTATTATATAAGGAACGCCAGCTGTTTACACAATTTAGAGTTATTCATGTCAGGGACTGTCCATTTTGATTTTTTCCATTTTTCAGGTGCCGGCAGTGGGTGAAAGTTGTTGGCAAAGAAGATTTAGTGTATGTGCCCATAGAACCAATTTACTGAACCAATATATGTATTAAGTTTAAGAGTCCACTTAATTTAAATAATTTTAGTTAGGTCCTTAACACACCGTCCGTATATAACATGAATTTGAAATTATTATTATAAAAATATATTTTTTAGTTTTTAATATAACACAATGTTTTATTTCAAATCCGAACTTTATCTTAAAGATCGAAACTAAAAATTAAAAAAGTAATATGACCTCGATTTCTACCCTATAAATATTATCGATATCGATACTAAACCTAGTATACAGCTACCACAGAACTATTTGGTCTTTTAGGTTGGTACTATTGATTTTGACGGCCGACATCTTTTATTTATTGCAATGTAGGTATTAGAGTGCCGTGTAAATGGATTCCACTGGCTTGTATGGGAGTCCCGTCTCTTAAACGTAGTGGTTACATACTCTTTGGGCCCCGTCTGTGGTGGTCTATTGGCTCTTTGAGGCGCGCGCGGAACGCTACGCGCCCTACGCTCGGGACCTAACCTAATATAATATGATATATTTTAAATATCAACTTACCCTGTAAGATTTTCCACATATTTCGCAAAGATGTTCACCCTCGACCTCCTTCTTCTTGCCTTCGTGTATATTCTTCACGTGGGCCACCAAGATCTTGGCCGTTTTGAATGCCTGCAAATATCCAAAGTAATATTATAAATGCGAAAGTAACTTTGTCGCTTTGTCTGTCTGTCTTTTCTTCAGGCCTAAATTACTGAACCTATTTGTATAAAATTTGGTACAGACATAGTTTGGAACTCGAGAAAGGACATAGGATAGTTTTTATCCCGAAAATCCCGCGAGATCAGGAACTATGAGGGTAAAACCAAAAATCTGAAGGAAGTCACTATTCCACGCGAATGAAGTCGCAAGCAAAAGCTAGTTAATTGGATATAATATTTTATATAATAGAGAGGTAAAATTTGTTAATTTGTATGGGAGAGAGTAATGTTTATATATAGGTCGTGGTGGCCCGGAGGTTAAGGAGCCCGCTTCTTATAATGTGTAAAAGTGCCGTTTTATGGCCTATTTCCAAATATAAACTCACTGTTTCATTGTTACAACACTTATTGGCAACAAAGGCGCAAACGACGCGGCGGTAACGTAGCGTCAACGCTAGTAAAACGCCTACTCGGATAGCGGCCTACTGACGAAAATCTAGATGTTTTTATAATAACTATCGTGAGACATACTAAATTAACTAAAAATCGCGGGTTACTCACGTTTGTTATTGAGAAAAGCTCTACTAGTTTCGAACCACAGAGGGGTTCTTCCTCGTGAGCAGCGTGCGCGGACGCGGCGACGTCGCGCAGCCTCTGTGGTTCGAAACTAGTAGAGCTTTTCTCAATATTTACACGTGAGCAACCCGCGATTTTTAGTTGAAAATCTAGATGTCTAATTAATTTTTACTTTAATTCAGGTCTACGCCATCCACGGAAGGAGTAATGATGATGAAAATTTGTTAGTTTACTAGGTCAAAAATAAATAAATTCCGACATTTCAATACAGTGCAATATTGAATAAAAACCTATACATATACTTTTTTATACATAGATCTGTCGATACATAGAATTTTCGATATTTTTAAACTCATTTTTAATTAATAAGTCAGTCAGTTTGCCCAATCCTTCCCCTTCCCGGTCCCTTCCCCAATCCCTAAATCTCCAAATCCCTAATCCCTAAAAGGTCGGCAACGCACTCATAACTCCTCCGTTGCGGGTGTCCATGGGCGGCGCTGATTGCTTAACATCAGGTAATCCATTAGCTCGTTTGCCGACTTATTACATAAAAAAAAGTCAAGCTATTTGACTCAAAAATACTAAGCCGTCATAATTTGGAGTTTCATACAAATTTAATAGAAAAGTAGTGTTTGATATTTGGATAAAAATATTGAATTTGACTAGTTGGAAACTACCGTATTGGAACTACATAATATGTTGGTAATAGAACTCACTTTGAAACAGGAGCTGCATTGATATTTGATTCGTTTCAGATGATCCCAATCAACGTGGTCAGTCAGACACCATTTCGTCGGAAACTTCTTATCACAGTAAGTACACGCGTGTCTGAAACAAAAAAAAAAATAATAATAATACAAGCGACTAGCCCCGGCTTCGCATGGGTACAAAGCTGATACTAAATTTCTCAACGATTTTTTTTTTATTTAATAGGTCGGCAAACTAGCTGGCGGATTACCTGATGGTAAGCAATCAGCGCCGCCCATCGACACTCGCATCGGAGGAGTTACGAGTGCGTTGCCGACCTTTTAGGGATTTAGGAGAGATTGGGGGAGGGGAAGGATTGGGCCTCCGGTAACCTCAATCACACGGCGAAACACAATGCTGTGGTTATTTCACGCCAGTTTTCTGTGAGGCCGTGGTATCACTCCGGTCGAGCCGACCCATTCGTGCCGAAGCATGGCTCTCCCACACTTTTCTCCCACACACTATTTAATGAATATTATCTACTAAAGAGGTAAAATTTGTAAGTTTGTATGTAGGGGGTAATCTTTGGAACCGCTGGTCGGATTGGCAAAATTCTTTCACTGATACATAGCTACAATGTTCCTGAGTGCTATAAGCTATAAAATATCACGCTACGATTAAATGGAGCCAAGCAGCGGGTGAAACCGCGCGAGAGTAGCTAGTTATACATATAAACTATCCTCTTCAATCATTCTTATGTATTAAAAAAACCGCATCAAAATCCGTTGCGTAGTTTTATAGATTTAAGCATACATAGGGATATAGGGACAGAGAAAGCGACTTTGTTTTATACTATGTAGTGACAGTGGTATTCTTGGCCACAAACCTGTCTTCGCGATGAGACGACATGCCTGCATGACACTACGGGATATTTTGGGATAGTACCGGACGATATTGGATAGTAGCAGATATTAATATAGATACTTGCACATACATAAATGAGAGTAGATTTTAACAGCTTAGGATAACATGAAACAGTTTAGTATAGTTTTCAGTTGTGAATAGTATCTGATATTTACGAATAGTTTCGGAGTTGCTAATAGTTTCGGATAGTTGCGGATAGTATCGGATAGTTTCGGATAGTTTCGGATAGTTGCGGATAGTAACTGACAGTTACTAATAGTTTCGGATAGTTGCGGATAGTATCGGAGAGTTGCTAAGAGATTCGGATAGTTGCAGATAGTATCGGATAGTTTCGGGTAGTTGCGGATAGTATCGGAGAGTTGCTAAGAGATTCGGATAGTTGCAGATAGTATCGGATAGTTTCGGGTAGTTGCGGATAGTATCGGAGAGTTGCTAAGAGATTCGGATTGTTGCGGATAGTATCGGATAGTTTCGGGTAGTTGCGGATAGTATCGAATAGTTTCGGATAGTTGCGGATGGTATCGGATAGTTTCGGATAGTTGCGGATAGTATCGGATAGTTTCGGATAGTTGCGGATAGTATCGGATAGTTTCGGATAGTTTCGAATAGGTGCGGATAGTATCGGAGAGTTGCAAATAGTTTCGGATAGTATGGGATAGCTGCTGACAGGATCGGATAGTTTTTAAATTCAGATATTTTAGACTACTTCTTAAGTAAATTTTTTGTAAGAGGAAAATCATCAAATGAATTACCCCCCCCCCCCGCCGTTCTTTTGCGCTTATTTTATATGCTTATTTTCTTAAGCCTGCATGTGTGGCCCAAGGTATTGGACCAACTTATTGGTCCAACGTGTAGAGGCGATATGTTGATAGCGATGATCCGTTTGGCGCCAATATTCAAATCAAATCAAATCAAAATCATTTATTTCAACTAAACCATAAAAAGGTACTTTTGAAACGTCAAATATTGGCGATCAAACCGAAATTTGTCGGTTCTTTGTCCATACATCAAAGGATATTGGCGCACCGCTACCAACATACTCCTAGGTACACACGTTGGGCCAATAGGTTGGCCCAATACCTTAAGCGAATGTGTACTACGGACTTATCATTTTGGGCCAACATATTGGCCCAAAACCTTGGCCCCATGTCTACAACCGGCTTTAAATACTTACTGATAAGCTTCATCAGCAACGTGCCGTTTGCTCAGTCTCATATGGTTATTGTAACAGTCTCTGCTGGCGAATGTCTTGCCGCAGTCTCTACACTCGTGCAGAGCCCCGGCGGCGCGTTCTCTGTGGTTGCGCGTGTGACGGTAAAGATTGCGTTTCCATTGGAACAGCTTGCCGCAGATTGGGCAAGGGTATGAAAGGCCATCGTGGATTACTCTGGAAATATATTTATTTATTTATTTATTTATTTATTTATTTATTTATTTATTAATTTGGATTCCCGACAGAAGATACACTTACATGCTATGTTAATCAATATGTTACATTAATACTGCCTTGTGTTCCTCGAATTATGGGGAACCACATCATACATATTTTGTTGGCATAAAACAGGAATTAACCAAATACAAAATAAAAATATATATATGACGGCGCTAGCGACTGATTATGGATTATTTTTAATAACAAAGAAGATTGTATTGTCTTTTCAGTTGATTGTAACATTATTATGAGCGGGTAACCCCGAATAGGGTAGTAAGTGTCACTACTCGGAATGGCAGCGGACAGGTGGTTGACAGCTGCGAGCCGAAGTGTACACGCTAACCTATTGGCTCAAAATCTGATTCCATCTTATTGATTGTGTGATTGTGAATAAAATAGCGAGGAAACCAAATGATACAAGCGTGCCTTTATTTTGAATTCCGGTCGTTACAACGCCCACGATAGAAAGTGACAACCATGACCGCCACGAGGCTCCTTCTGACGCTCCCACATATATATATAGCTCAAGGCTGTTACAAATTGAAATACAGCAAAATTAAATAAGATGAATTTCAAATTACAGTAGATGAGATCACAACTAAAGATAATTGAATCTCCTTAAAAAATAAAAACTACTGAATTAAGTTCTAAGAAACAAGTACTTAAAAAAAATTGATTTCTAGGGCATATTCGGATGGGAAAATATAGGGTCGCCCGACTTGGCTGAGTTAATCGTGAGTGACGGGGTAATTCTAAAAAAAATTACGTAACTTATGTATGATGGCTTTTCTAGCCGAGAGTAGAGGAAGAGGTAGTGCAGTGAGTATTTACATAGGTGTATACGTAATTGTCGTGGTGGCCCGGAGGTTAAGGAGCCCGCTTGTCATGCATGAGGGTGTGGGTTCGAAACCTGGCAAGTACCAATGTGACTTTTTCCGAATTATATGTACTTTCTATGATTATTTAGACACCACTGACATACGGTGAAGGTTAACATCGTGAGGAAACCTGGACTTATAATTTCTAATTATAAGTTTGAAATCGCCAACCCGCATTGAGCAAGCGTGGTGATTAATGCTCTAACCTTCTCCGCGTGAGAAGAGGCCTTTGGTCCGCAGTGGGCACTTATAGGCTGATGATGATGATGATGATGATGATACGTGAATGTCCCTACAACTATTAACAAGTCTTTCTAGAATAAATGCTAAAATACTCACACGTGCGCTCTATAACTCTTCTTAGAATGGAACACTTTGTCACAACCTTTGCACGGTATAAACAACTTCTCTTTAGGCTTCTCTTCTTTGTTTCGAGGTAATATTCTGTAAAATAAAACAAATACATATAATCATTAAGTTTAAGTGTGGGAGAGCCATGCTTCGGCACGAATGGGTCGGCTCGGCCGGAGTGATACCACGGCCTCACAGAAAACCGGCGTGAAATAACCACAGCGTTGTTTTTCGCCGTGTGAGTGAGGTTACCGGAGGCCCAATCCTCTCCCCTCCCCGAATCCCTCCTAAATCCCTAAATCTCCAAATCCCTAATCCCTAAAAGGTCGGCAACGCACTCGTAACTCCGTCGTTCCGTTGCGGGTGTCCATGGGCGGCGCTGATTGCTTACCATCAGGTAATCCGTCTGCTCGTTTGCCGAACTATTAAATAAAAAAAAATTAATCACCAAAAGCGACCTTGAGTCTGTTCTCCATAAGAGAGGGAATTGTTTCTTTGGTTTTTTATTTAAGTTAATGGGCATTTCTGCAATGTCGTGAATCTATACTAATATTATAAAGAGGTAAGGGAGGTTTGTATGTAGGGGGTAATCTTTGGAACCGCTGGTCGGATTGCCAAAATTCTTTCACTGATAGGTAGCTACAATATTCCTGAGTGCTATAGGCTATAAAACATCACGCTACGATCAAACGGAGCAGCGGGTGAAACCGCGCAAGAGTAGCTAGTGCTTCATAAAATAAACATCTAGACCCGGAACAACAATTTGTCGATTACACAGAGTTTGGGAATCGGAACCCTGCACCTTGCATAGCGACTTGCATAGTTGTCCACCAATCGGGTCAAACGTGCAGCTTGGTATTACAGTTCCGCTCGCACCCATTTTTAACTCCATTGGTGTTACCGCGCGCGCCTCAAAGAGCCAATAGACCACCACAGACGGGGCCCTATAGGGCTGATGTTCAGCCGGGGTTGCGGGGTAAGCACAATGAGGCACCGCGACCTCGGCACAAAGCAGGAGAAGGAACAGGGGGAGGGCGGAGGGGGATTCTATTCTATTTTTAAAAAACGTTACCCCACATTAGGATTTTCTCCTGTGTCGTGGGTGCGTTTACAAACATACAATTTCACATACACATAACACCCAGACCCGGAACAACAATTTGTGGATCACACAAAGAGTTGTTCCGTGCGGGAATCGAACCCGCTATACGTTGCACGGCAGCCAGTTGCCCAGCCACCGCACCAACCGTGCAGGGATAAGTCAGTTAGGGTTCCGCTTTACCATGGGCAGCAGAAATTATTTGTTGATTTCCCCTGACAAAAAATGTAGAATAGGTCCCACCTCTTCAGAGTAGAAAACCAGGGTAGGCAGGTAGAGTAGAAGTGTAGATAGGTAATTAGATTGAGTAGTGTAGGTAGTCAAATGATGGGAGCAAAGCTGCAGGTAAGCGCTAAAAGTCAAAAATCAAAATAATTTATTTCAATTAGACCCTAACAGGCACTTTTGAAGGTCAAACAAAATTTTAAAGATTAATTCCCGCGTTCCGAAAGGCCGATCAATGTTAAAATCAATTTATTCTCTTGTCAAGTCATCTGATTGGTTGACTGAATTATCAACAACCAATCAGATGACTTGACAAGAGATTTAACAGGAGATTAGTTAATTTTAGCGTTGACAAGCCTTTCAGAAACCGGGTGATAAAGTATGAATCTGTCCGTCAGTCCTCTAGTGAAGCTATTTGCTCGTTCCAAAGCGTACATTCCTATGGAGAAGAACGAGCAAGAAACTCCATGGTTACTTTTTTTTATGGAATAGGTCGGCAAACGAGCAGACGGATCACCTGATGGTAAGCGATCGGCGCCGCCCATGGACATCCGCAACACCAGAGGAGTCACAGGTGCGTTGCCGGCCTTTTAAGAAGGAATACGCTCGTTTCTTGAAGGTTTGAAGGTCGTATCGGTTCGGGAATACCGCCGCCGGAAGATCATTCCAAAGTTTTGCTCTACTATTTTATAAATCATAGAGGACTTACTTTAAGTGGTATTTTAAAGTCATCTTATTAGCAAATACTTTGCCGCAACAATCGCACTGAGGCTTCTCTTGACGACAAACGGCGCGATGGTATATTAACTTCGATTTCGTACTGAAACAATATAGAAATTCAATGTTAGATGGAGAATTTTGATTGTTAAAATAGTGATTGTCTATTTTAGGCACGAAGGTATAAATAAAAAAACAAAACCAGCCATTATGTATTTGAAGTCTTTCGACTATGATTAGAATAATTTGACATGTTCAGTTATGCGCGGATTATTGGGTAGGAAGACAGTATTTCAATAAAATAACTGTTGCTGTAATCGCTCTTATCACAACTCTTGATATTACAATCACAACTATTACAATTTAACTAAGGATGATTAAGATTAGGTTGGATTTGAACTTAACGTCCACCGAACACGTGGCTGCGTGCGTATTCTACGAAGGTCCAACACTAATCATAGATCATAGTAATATACTATAGTCAGAATTTTAATTCGATTCCTGATTTGACATGACCTCCTGTCATTTTGTGAAATAATGATACCACATAATAACAGTGTAGTGATGAACACAAAAATCGATAAACAATCAGTGAATCAGTTTCAGGAAGGCATTCAAAAAATTACGGCTACCGAAAGGTTTAAATGCGTATCCCATGTTGTCAAAGAAGAGGAAAAAATGAGTAAGCTAGATATGTTAATTGACAATAAATATCACAGACAAAATTCATAATAAATGTTACAGAGAGTTACAGCGATAGCGATAGCGATGACGGCGACAATTTATAAAATGTCTATTTTATTGGTCATGTTCCTTCATGATCACATTTTTTATTAATTTCACACACAATTACAAAAGAAAAGTCTCAGATCGTTAATTAACTGTCAAAACTAAATTATCGGTTCAGAAATATTTTATTTCCTGATAAACTTAGTTTACGAGAGTAGATTTATAAACGAGAGGAATCGATTCAGAAATATTCGATTTCCATATCGAATAATTTCGCAACGTCACTATTTATTACGTGTCATAACGTTGCAACACTGAAATTGTCAAATCTGGAATGGAATTAAAATTCCGAGTATAATTGTCCTGTTTCACAAGAAGACCGCCTCACCAGAGCTCGGTGTTCGCTATGGACTTGAAATAATTATGACAGTTGACAGTGAAGTTTGACATCGACGTATAACAAAGAGGCTTCATATGTGCTGTTGGCCAGTGCGCCGACATATTTTTTATATATAACAAAACACTTAATAGAAAATGAGATGAATCAATAAAAATATGTTCGTAGTTAAAAGGTTCCACTAAACGAAACTAGATGGCGTTGTTAGATAACGTCACTTTTTAAATCGCGGTGTTAAGATTCTCCGTCGATAGACAATACCCCGTTCGAAGTTTTTTTTTTAATTGAATTTGAGCATCGAAAGTGATTCGTAATAAATGTGCTTGTTCCTACTTGAACTCTCAGTGTACGAAAGTAAAGTAAAAATATTATCTATACTCGGAATTTTAATTCCATTCCAGATTTGACAATTTCAGTGTTGCAACGTTATAACACGTACAAAATAGTGATGTTGCGAAATTATTCGATATGGAAATCGAATATTTCTGAATCGATTTCTCTCGTTTATGAATTTACTCTAGTGAACTAAGTTTATCAGGAAATAAAATATTTCTGAACCGATAATTTAGGTCTGACAATTAATTAAGGATCTGAGACTTTTCTTTTGTAATTTTGTGTGAAATTAATGAAAAATGTGATAATGAAGGTACATGACAAATAATACAGAAATTTTATAAATTGTCGCCTTCATCGCTATCGCTGTTAATTTCTGTAACATTTATTATGAATTGTGTCTGTGATATTTATTGTCAATTAACATATCTAGCTTACTCATTTTTTCCTCTTCTTTGACAACATGGGATCCGGCATTTAGACCATTCGGTAGCCGTAATTTTTGGAATGCCTTCCTGAAACTGATTCACTGATTGTTTATCGATTTTTGTGTTCATCACTACACTGTTATATGTGGTATCATTATTTCACAAAATGACAGTAGGTCATGTCAAATCAGGAATCGAATTAAAATTCTGACTATAGATCTACAAATTCAAACAACTTTTTAAGGTGTAATGGGCATTTTGGTGGCAAGCGATGACGCGACCTACAGTGGAGCACGCATACCCATAAGCAACCTATTCACTCGGGCCTTGACTGAAGACCCAGGTTATACCCTTCGGGGAACACAGGCAAAGAATAGTATAATGCTTAGCCTTAGCGGTTCTAACAATAAAACTGTAGAAAGAGCGACACGACGTGTTTCGCCCCTCCACAGGGCTTCCTCAGGAGATGTTGAACCTACCTAGACCTAGAAAAATATTTAGTTTGAATTAGTACATGCATATGCACACGTGCAAAAAACCTAGAGCGCAGCGCGGCGCTCGTAGAGTCTAGGTTTGATTGCGTGCCATGTTTTTCCGTTTTTTGCACGTGTGCATATGCATGTACTAATTCAAACTAAATATTTTTCTAGGTCTAGGTAGGTTCAACATCTCCTGAAGATGCCCTGTGTTTACCTTTGCTGCATGTGCATATGCATGATTGCATAGGAGTGAGATTACATCTTGTAACAAGCCTGGATTTTTGTCGCGGAATTGAAACTAAATATTTTTCATAACATTTAATAAACAAATATAACATCAAACAATGATATTATTATAAGAAGTAAAATCGTGTAAATAGTGTGACGGAAAAGTGGTTCAAACTCTTTGACATCATGACGTCAATGGATGGTTGTCAAACGTTGCCTAGAGATTGTAAATTTCGTCGTGAATTGTCAATACGAGTTGGTGTAATTGGTAAGGCGTGTGGATTACACCACAGAGACTCCGAGTTCGAGTCCCGCCGTAAACATGAAGTTTTTTAGTTGATGGAAGTTTTGTCGAACTTTCTGGAATTATTTGTGTGAAAGAGATGAAAAATTAAAGAGTGAGAAGGAGAATAAATAAAAATGAATAGCGAAATTATTGGAAGGTTCTGGAGGCATGACGATCAAAAAGAATAACGAAATTGAATGTTCCAGAACCTGACCGGGGGTATATAAGCAGAACTGCGGCTCACCGCTGGCAGTTGACTTCTAAGTCTAAAGTGATTCGGAAGAAAAGGAAGAAGTGAAAAAGAAGAAAAGTGAGTGAAATAGTGAAGTGCAGTGAAATAGTGAAGTGCAGTCAGTTAAGTGAGTTAAGTCAGCGTGAACGGCAAAGTTGTGTCAGTCGGCCGGACTCTGCTGAAGAAGAACGCCGATAACTTAACTCCGTGGACGCTGTAACTTAAGTGCAATAGAAAGTCTGAAAACCGGTATTAGTGTTTCATTTCATCCAATCCCGTAACCCAAGCCCGCATAGTCAGGAACGTGACGTCAGGCACGTAACATTTGGTGTCAGAAGTGGGATTGGAGAAAAATGCCGCTAGTGCCGCAGGACGTAAGAGGAGTGAGTACCCGTGCAATGGCAGAAGCGCAGCGTGTGAGGGAAGAAAGTGCTGCAGCTCAAACCAGCGATGCAGAAGCCAAGCCTGTGCAGGTGGATCTACTGCTACAGCTGCAGCAAATGATGGTAGAGCAAGCGCGCCGCCAAGAAGAACAGCTACGGGAGCTGAAAGAAGATCAAGCTCGTCGCCAAGAGGAGCATGCACGCTGTCAGGCGGAGCAGCTACGGGAGCTGAAAGAGGATCAAGCTCGCCGCCAAGAGGAGCAAGCGCGTCGCTTGGAAGACATGCATAAGGATTTCACGAAGGGACTGCAAAAGGCTGTCGAACGGGTACAAGAAGTGGAGGAAGGGTTAGGCAAGTTGGAACATCGCGTCATGGCGATAGAGGAGAGAGTGGAAGAAGAGATCTCCAAAATCAAGCAGGAAGTGGCAAGCCCAAGCCCTTTGAAGAGCCGAAGCCGTCTTGCAGCCGTTTTTGACACCCCAAATGTGGCCTCAAGCGCAACGAAAGGGCTCAAGATTCCCCATTACGACGGAACAACATCCTGGACCGCGTTCAAGCTACAGTTTGAGACACTTATGGAGGCTTATGGTTGGACTCAGAAGGAAGCACAGTCAGCCCTCACCCTGGCCCTCCGTGATCAAGCGCTCTCAGTGCTGGAAGCTATCGGCGCAAGTGGGGATCTCAGCTTTAGTGCCCTCCTCGACGCACTTGAGGCACGTTTTGGAGACAGCCACCTCGAGCACGTGTACAGAGCGCAATTAAAAGAGCGTACTCAGCGTGCTAATGAGAGTCTACAGCAATGGTCCGTGGAAATCGAAAAACTTGTGCGTCGAGCTTTCCGGTCGACTCCGTCAATGATTGAAGGCACGCTTCTCCAAGCATTCATTGACGGTGTTCGGGACCCCGAAGTACGAGCTGCTGTTCATCTGGGCCATCACAAGAACATGAAAGAAGCTCTGGCCCATGCATTGGAAGTGGAAGCCGTGCGTGGTAACTCCCGTACCTTACGTCTGCGGGAAATGACGACAACGGAGCAGGTACCTCCACGCCGTCGGAACTTCATGTGCTATGGATGCGGAGAGCGTGGGCACATGCGGAGCGACTGCCCGAAGAAGGTGAACCGCCAGGACGCGGCGGTCTCAACTTCTGACCAGCAGGAAAACTAAATCCAGCCAGGGCTGCGGGGTGGGCGCTGGCCGGTAGTGGAATAACCCCAACAATCTACATCAAGCAAACTAACGATGGAAATACTCTGGTGATAGACGGTCAAGTAAACGGGAAAAACAGTCAGCTAACATTAGATACTGGAGCTTCAAGGACGGTGATGAATGTTCGGCTGCTCGGGCAAAACATCAGGAAACACCTTAAACCAATTGTTGGCCTACGAATGAAATCAGCTACCGGCCAGCGCATACCGATAAGTGGAAAATTGCATGTAACAATTAAAATTGGGGAACGTGTTTATCGACATGAGGTTATTGTGGCCAAAATTCTGGATGACTGCATCCTAGGACTTGATTTCCTGCGAGGGCACCAGTGTAACATCGACTTAAAATCTGGAGTATTACTATGTGGAACTGAGGAAATTCCGATGAAGGGTGGAACCCTGGGAAAAGTTTGCTGTTTAAGAAGAACTGTTCTTGCACCAAAATCACAGACTCTCGTACCAATTGCATTACCTAGGAGGAGGGAAGGAAGTTTACCTCGAAGGTGCGCTGTGATTGATAAATCGGAACACGTAAACTCATGGCTACCGGCAAGAACTGTCGTGGGGTCATCTGATGTCAACCGCATTCCGGTATTCAACTTCAGTGATTCAAAAATTACGATTGAAGAAGGAGAGCCTGTGGGCGTATTGGAAGAAGTGGCCTGGATAAGAAAATGCTCGGAAAATCTTGTGAAGAAGGACAGCACGGGAATAGACTTTGTAACGAAAATCTTAGACGAAAACAAAAGTCTGACAAAAGTGGAGACTATGAAGGCTAGAAATTTACTTCTTCGATTCTCTGATGTGTTTTCAAGAAGCGATGGTGATATTGGCCGAACTGGTTTGGTGAAGCATAAAATAAACACAGGTGAAACAATGCCAATTCGTCAAAGGCCCAGACGCATACCATTCGCTCGTGATAAAGAGGTTGAAGAAATGATTGACGATATGAGGAAAAATGACGTGATAGAGCCCTCTTCTAGCCCTTGGTGTTCACCTGTTGTGCTTGTCAAGAAGAAAGATGGTTCAACGAGGTTTTGCGTAGACTATCGACGATTGAATGATGTAACCAATAAGGATAGCTACCCGTTACCAAGAATCGATGACACACTTGACACACTGAGTGGCATGAAATGGTTTTCAACGCTCGATCTAAAAAGCGGGTATTGGCAGGTGGATTTGGATCCCAAGGACAAGGAAAAGACCGCATTCTCAACTGGGAAGGGACTCTGGCAATTTAAGGTGATGCCATTTGGATTATGCAATGCACCGGCAACCTTTGAGCGTTTGATGGAACAGGTGCTGGCGGGACTGCTGGGCGAAACCTGCCTAGTTTACCTCGATGACATCATCATTGTTGGACGGGATTTTGACGATCATCTAAGGAAATTAGAAAAGGTACTCGACAAGCTGCGTGGAGCAAATTTAAAGTTGAGTCCAAAGAAATGCTCTTTCTTCAAGCGCGAAGTGAATTATCTAGGACATGTTATTTCTGAGAGAGGAATTGAGACTGATCCAGCCAAGACTGTCGCTGTTAAGGAATGGCCAACACCTAAAGACAAAACGCAAGTTCGGGCATTTCTTGGATTGTGCTCGTATTATCGGCGGTTTGTGAAAGGATTCTCGGACATTGCCAAGCCTTTGCATCGATTGACAGAGGAGAAACGTGCCTTTATCTGGGAAGAGGATTGTGAGCAAGCCTTTCGAGAACTTAAAGAACGGCTTTGTAACACACCAATTCTCGGATACCCCAGCGCGAAAGGAATATTCGTAGTAGATACGGATGCCAGCAATATTGGAATAGGAGGTGTCCTTTCACAACGCGATGGTGAGCAGGAGAAGGTTATTGCTTACTTCAGCAAGTCACTATCCAAGCCCGAGAGGAATTATTGCGTGACCAGGAGGGAATTGCTGGCCGTAGTCAAAACTCTGCACCATTTCAAGAAGTATTTACTGGGACGGAAATTTTTGATTAGAACTGATCACGCTGCTTTGAAATGGCTGCTTCAGTTTAAGGATCCCGAAGGCCAAGTAGCCAGATGGTTGGAACAACTTCAGGAATTTGACTTTGAAATCGAACATCGCGGAGGAAGAATTCATGGCAACGCAGATGCATTATCGAGACGCCCATGCGTGGAAGATTGCAAGCATTGTTCCAAGAAGGAAACTGCTTTTCTTAAGGTGATAAGGACTGATACTGTTGACGAGGCATGGGAAGATGATGCGATGAAATTAGAACAGGAAAGAGATGCAGATATTAAACCAATACTGGAGTGGCTACGAAGTGGTAACAAGCCAAGTTGGAGTGACGTCGCCCAATATAGCGCGGTAACGAAAGGTTTATGGGCACAGTGGAAAAGCCTTACGCTGCATAACGGACTTCTGTGCAGGAAATGGGAATCAACAAACGGCAAGGACGAGCATTTGCAATTGGTGGTGCCTCGTTCAAAAATAAGGGATGTATTAAAAGCGTTCCATGATGGATCTTCTGGAGGACATTTGGGAATTAGGAGGACTTTGGTGAAGATCAAGGAGAGGTTTTATTGGTTGCATTGCAAATATGACGTCGAAGATTGGTGCCGGAAATGCACTAGTTGTGCAGCTGTCAAGGGTCCACAAACAAGAAGCAGAGGGGCGATGAAAATCTACAATGTTGGTATGCCTTGGGAGAGAATAGCCTTAGACATCGCTGGACCATTTCCAATCACTGATTCGGGCAATCGCTACGTTTTAGTGGTTATGGATTATTTTACAAAATGGCCGGAGGTCTTTGCCATACCGAATCAAGAGGCAGTAACTGTAGCCACGAAGTTGGTAAACGAGGTATTCACCCGATTCGGAGTGCCCTTGGAGATGCACAGTGATCAAGGACGGAACTTTGAGTCCCAAGTTTTTCAGGAAACTTGTAAACTTTTGGGAATCCATAAGACTCGAACGACCCCTTATCATCCACAGTCAGATGGAATGGTCGAACGTTTCAACCAAACATTGGAACGACACTTAGCAAAGGTGGTTGACAGCCATCAGAGAGATTGGGACACTTACATACCTCTCTTCTTGCTGGCCTATCGGACTGCTGTACATGAAAGTACCGCAAAGACGCCTGCATTTGCAAATTTTGGAAGGGAATTGAGATTACCGGCAGATCTTGTATCGGGCTGTCCACCTGGCGACTCTCGCACCGAATTTAGCGATTACATAAGCGAGTTAAGGGCAAAAATGTTGGACATTTATGAGCAGATCAGGGAGGCCGGTCTTCAAGCTAGTGATCGCGCAAAGACGCGCTATGATCGACGAGCCAATTCTGTTGGGTTTGAAGAGGGGTCATTGGTCTGGCTTCATAATCCAGTCAGAAGGAAGGGAAAATCTCCGAAGCTGCAACCGAGTTGGGAAGGTCCTTATGAGATAGTCACGAAGATCAATGACATTACTTACAGAATTCGGAAGACTTCAAGGAGCCCTTTGAAAGTTGTCCATATAGACAGGTTGGCGAGGTATTACGGCAGCAACGATGCTCGGGACGAGCGAATCTAAGAGGGGGGCAGTGTGACGGAAAAGTGGTTCAAACTCTTTGACATCATGACGTCAATGGATGGTTGTCAAACGTTGCCTAGAGATTGTAAATTTCGTCGTGAATTGTCAATACTTGTTGGTGTAATTGGTAAGGCGTGTGGATTACACCACAGAGACCCCGAGTTCGAGTCCCGCCGTAAACATGAAGTTTTTTAGTTGATGGAAGTTTTGTCGAACTTTCTGGAATTATTTGTGTGAAAGAGATGAAAAATTAAAGAGTGAGAAGGAGAATAAATAAAAATGAATAGCGAAATTATTGGAAGGTTCTGGAGGCATGACGATCAAAAAGAATAACGAAATTGAATGTTCCAGAACCTGACCGGGGGTATATAAGCAGAACTGCGGCTCACCGCTGGCAGTTGACTTCTAAGTCTAAAGTGATTCGGAAGAAAAGGAAGAAGTGAAAAAGAAGAAAAGTGAGTGAAATAGTGAAGTGCAGTGAAATAGTGAAGTGCAGTCAGTTAAGTGAGTTAAGTCAGCGTGAACGGCAAAGTTGTGTCAGTCGGCCGGACTCTGCTGAAGAAGAACGCCGATAACTTAACTCCGTGGACGCTGTAACTTAAGTGCAATAGAAAGTCTGAAAACCGGTATTAGTGTTTCATTTCATCCAATCCCGTAACCCAAGCCCGCATAGTCAGGAACGTGACGTCAGGCACGTAACAATAGGTTACATAGACAAAATTCGATTTTTAAAAACGACACACCTACACACACATGAACAATTCGTATGTTTAGACGTCAAAGTGAGATGGCATGATTCAATAATCAAAAAAAATGAAAATGAGACAAATATGTAAGTGTGGCTAGTTAGCCACATTTTAATGTATCACTTGCTGAGCGCTACACCTTTTTACTTATAATATCATCATCATCGGCCTATAAGTGCCCACTGCTGAGCAAAGGCCTCTTCTCGCACGGAGAAGGTTTGAGCATTAATCACCACGCTTGCTCAATGCGGGTTGGCGATTTCAAACTTATAATTAGAAATTATAAGTCCAGGTTTCCTCACGATGTTTACCTTCACCGCATGTCAGTGGTGTCTAAATAATCATAGAAAGTGCATATAACTAGGAAAAAGTCACATTGGTACTTGCCCAGTTTCGAACCCAAACCCTCGTGTATGAGAAGCGGGCGCTTAACCTCGGGGCCACAACGACACACACACACACTTATAATATCATTGACATCAAATAACTTACCTAAAACTGCTCTTACAAGAGCTACAAGAAAAACTTTCTCCAGACTTATGTACGCTGACGTGCTTCATCATACGTTTCTTCAAGCCGGTATTGAAGCCGCACTCCTTACACCGGTACCCTTGTTGGTGTAACGCCTTGTGAGCCGACAGATTATCTTTCGTCAAGAAATAAGCTTCGCATATCGGACATTGATGGCAATCGTCACGTTTCTGTAAAGTAAAAATAACATTAACATAAATAACTAAAAATCGCGGGTTACTCACGTGTATATATTAAGAAAAGCTCTACTAGTTTCGAACCACAGAGGGGTTCTTCCTCATGTGGTTCCATTTTTCCATTCCAGTAGGCTGCGTGACGTCGCCGCGTCCGCGCACGCTGCTCATGAGGAAGAACCCCTCTGTGGTTCGAAACTAGTAGAGCTTTTCTCAATATACACACGTGAGTAACCCGCGATTTTTAGTTAATTTAGTATGTCTCACGATAGTTATTATAAAAACATAACATTAACATGTCGTTGTGGCCCGGAGGTTAAGGCAAGTACCAATGCGACTTTTTCCGAGTTATATAAAGTACTTTTTTTATGTAATTGGTCGGCAAACGAGCAGACGGATTACCTGATGGTAAGTAATCAGCGCCGCCCATGGACACCCACAACGGAGGCGTTACGAGTGCGTTGCCTACCTTTTAGGGATTAGGGATTTGGAGATTTAGGGATTGAGGAGGGATTGGGGAAGGGGAAGGATTGGGCCTCCTGTAACCTCACTCACACGGCGAAACACAACGCTGTGGTTGTATCCCCGTCCCCCCAAAAAAAGTATCCTATCTTATCCGATCGTGGGACAGAAACGAATATTAGGATATTAATATAGGAACAAAAGGTTAAGATTATAGTAGGATAGAATAAGATAGTGTTTTAATCCTTTATCTTACTATGCTAATATTCGTTCCTATCCCAGTATCCTATCTTAGTCGATAGTGGGAATGAAACGGATATTAGGATATCAAAATAGGAATAAAAGGTTAAGGTTATAGCAGGACAGAATACAAAAAAGTTTTGTAACCCTTCACATATTATTATCTTACTATGCTACTATCCGTTACTATCCCAGTATCCTATATTATCCGATAGTGGGAATGAAACGGATAGTAGGATATTAATATAGGAATCAACGCTAGGTCAGTATAACAGAACAATAAATCAGATATAACAGATTGGTTCCTTTGAAAACTTAAGAATTTGCAGTTAGATATAACTGTTTTCTTTTTGATATTATATAGGTATGTAGGTATATATAGCATTTTTTTCATTTTTAGACCTGTTTAAATAATGTTCTTGGCGCGAATGTATACCTAGTTCAATGTGGAAACTGTTTTGGATTTACTGATTCTTCAATGGTTAGATAAAAGTTACCTGGGGAATAATTATGCTGCTGTCGCGTCACAATCTTTGTATAAGACAGTGACAGCAACAATTGTATTCCTCAGATAACATTTATATTTCGTTTTCAGTTCAATTCTTCGAAGTAGTGAGTGTGAGTGAGGTATTTTATTATTTTTATAAAATATCTGTTGGTTTAGCATAAATAAAAATAAATATAATCATAAACTAATTACTTTAAAACTACTTACTGGCTGATGTTTTCCGTTTAAGTGATCTTGCATTAGTTTCTCAGTATTAAACGCTATGATACAAGTATCACATCTGTGGAAAGAAAACATATAATATGAAGAATATTGTTACAAGGCCTCGGCTTGGAGCAGGAGAAGGAACGGGTGGTTTTTAGTCAGTAAGAGTCCCGACACTCTCGTTCCAGTAATCAGTCGATAAAAGAATACCATGCCTACATCACGCCTAGACCCGGAGCAACAATTTGCGGATCACGCAATGAGTAGTTCCGTGCGGACATTATTAAAAAAAATCTTTGTTCCACATTAGAATTTTGTCCTGTGTCGTGGGTGCGTTATATATATTACAAACATCGATTTCACTTACACATCACACTCAGACCCGTAACAACAATTTGTGGATCACGCAAAGAGTTGTTCCGTGCGGGAATCTAACCTGCGATACACCGCTCGACCGGAGTGATACCACGGCCTTAAAGAAAACCGCTATGAAAAATAGCTTTGTGTTTCGCCGTGTGGGTGAGGTTACCGGAGGCCCAATCCTGCCCCTCCCCCAACCTTTTCTTTATCGCCAAAACGCCAGCAACGCACTTGTTCCTCCTCTGGTGTCGCAGGTTTCCATGGGTGACGCCGATTGCTTACCATCAGGTAATCAATAAGCTCGTTTGCCGACCTATCTCATACAAAAAAGCGTCGATGACAAAAACCCTTACCTATTCTTAAGTTTCTGAAACTCCTTGCTGTTCAGATCTTCCCATCGGACTGCCCACATTTCCTCATTAGTCATCGTGTAAAGTTCCACCAAGTCTTCGGGTAGATTCTTCAGTTTCCTGTTCTTTTTATCATCGATCTTTTCCTTTTTTAGCTTATGTTTCTTTGGGGCTACCTGTTGAAAAGATGGGATATCTTCTATTGTTCAATAAAGAAAGTGAAATCGCCGCGACGCGCACGCTACTCATGAATAAGAGTCCAGTTTGTGAGTTAAAGTACAGCTTATTTCAATTTTTTTTACGTGATTATGTCGTTATTTTCAATAAAATAAGGTCATCGCCATGTTAGTGAGGTTACTGGAGGTCCAATACTTAAATCGCCCTCCTCAAAACCCTAAATCTGAAAAATTACTATTCCGCAAAAGGTCGGCAGCTCACTCGCAACTCCTCTGTTGTTCCATGGGCGGGCGCTGATTGCTTACCATCAGGTAATCCGTCTGCTTATATGTATGTCGGATAATCACATAAATAAAATGACTCAGGAGGATAGTTACTATTCAAAAGTATTTATTTATTTATTTGCATTAGTAACATTTGTTTTTAGTATATAGCTACCTGATGGTAAGCAATCAGGGTCGCCCGTCACCTACGGACAACGCATTAACCATAAAAAAACTCTTGACGTACCTTCTGCTTCTTTTTCTCGCTCTTCTTTCTCTTCTTATCTCTTTCCGTCTCCTCTTTAATCTTGGACAGCTTGACATCTTCATCGGAAGACACGTCGTTATCAAGAGGAATATCCTCAAAATATGTTTCTTCTAGCGTTTCTTCTTTAATGTCCACATCTAGAAGATAAAATCAAAAGTAAAAAATCATTTAGGTATTACAATTAGACCCTTACAGGCACTTTTAACGGCAAACAAAATTTTAAAGATGTAAAGTGTCAGTCGTAAGGGGATCTTGCCCTTTCACTCAAGCGAAAATTAGTCGACATATTGTATATCTTGCCTATCCTAACCTACGGTGCGCAAACTTGGTCTCTCACCGAGTGTCAGAAGTCCAGGCTCCGGGTTTGCCAAAGGGCAATGGAACGTAGCCTGTTGGGCATAAAACGGACCGATCGCATACGGAATACCGTGATACGTTCCAAAACAGGAGTCGCTGATGTGGGCCAAAAGGCGGCAAAATTAAAATGGGACTGGGCCGGAAACGTCAGACGAATGCATCCAGAGAGATGGGCCACTAATGTCACCCAGTGGACACCTCAGGATGGAAGCCGCAGGCGGGGTAGACCCCGGAATAGATGGCGTGACGATCTAGACGCCTATCGTCGATACTGGTGGGCACGGTCGAAGGATCGGGAGGTGTGGAAGCGAGATGGGGAGGCCTTTGCCCAGCAGAGCAAAAAAAAGTGTCAGTCTGTCGGTCAGTCCTCTAGTGAAGCTATTTACTCGCTCCAAAGTAAAGATTCCTATGGAGAAGAACGAACAAGAAACTCTTTTGGAACGTATCAAGAAGCGAATTCGTGACGTGGCAAGTACCAATATGACTTGTCCCGAGTTATATGTACTTTCTGTGATTATTTAGACACCACTGACATGTGACGGAACACAGGTACCTTTCCATCATGGTCCCACCAGACTATCGGCAATGCGTCATCGCTTCATGGTGGATATCCCACCTACACGAACTAAGGTGTTCGCCTCCACTTTTATCATCAGAACCACTAAGGCAGTCTGTGTACTCCCTCAAGGGTATAACCTAGGTGTCTTCAAGGTCCAAGTGAATAGGTTGCTAATGTGTAGACGTGCCGGAGCACGCCGACACACAGATAAATAAATCAGATCCTATCAGAGACTCTTGATTAATAGAAAAACACTTAGAAAGAAAATCGTCGTTCAGTCACTCCTCTAGAGAAGCTATTTAATCTGTTAAGCCTGTTATCGTCCACTGCTGGACATAGGCCTCCGCAATTGCACGCCACTGAGCTCGATGTTCAGCTCTTCTCATCCAACCACTGCCAGCCACCCTGCGGACATCCGCAGCGTCAGTCCACCTAGCTGGAGGGCGCCCTACACTACGTTTGCCTAGACGTGGTGGTCTCCACTCTAGAACACGTTTACCCGACGGTCATCGGTTCTTCGACAGATGTGACCTGCCCACTGCCACTTCAGTTTGCTAATCCTTTGGGCTATGTTGATAACTTTAGTTCCTCACTTTAGTTCATCCTTTAGAGAGACTCCAAGCAAAGCCGTTTCCATAGCTCGCTGCGCGACTTTAAATTGGTGGATCAGTCGCACTGTAAGTGTCCACGTCTCGGCTCCGTATATCACTCGTTCCAAAGTGTGTCCTATGGAGAAATTGACATGCAAATGGCACTTACCAGAAGTATATTCTAGTTGTTGTTCCTCTTCTTTAATCAACGGTTCTTTTTCATCTTCAAAAACCACTTCTTGCGCATCCCTTATTTGTTCAATACAGACCTCTGTCTGTAGCAAAGATTTCGTTGCATGGGGTTCGAAATCGTGAGGGGAATCCAGGAACGTATGCTGGAAATGAGATCTTACTTAAAATTTAACATTTTCAACCTTCCATCACAGAATATTATAATATTAATTTGACTGCACGGTTGGTGCGGTGGCTGGGCAACTGGTTGCCGCGCAACGTGTCGCGGGTTCGATTCCCGCACGGAACAACTCTTTGTGTGATCCACAGATTGTTGTTCCGGGTCTGGGTATGATGTGCATGTGAAATTGTATGTTTGTAAACGCACCCACAACAAAGGAGAAAATCATAGAGAGGGGCAATTTAAAAAAAAAAGGACAATAGGCTTCCTTAATAGAAGTTTTTATTAAGGAAAGATAGGGGATTGAGGACTGGGCCTCTGGTAACCTCATAAACACGGCGAAACACGAGCGTTCTTTCACGCCGTTATTCTGTGAGGCCGTGATATTACTCCGGCCGAGCCGTCCAATTCTTGCTGAAGCATGACTATCATACTCTTAAACATTCATATTTTTAGGGAGGAGGATCATAAATATCCTGCTCTAGGTCGAGATCCCGGTAACTTATTGCGCTTGCTTAAAGAATCCTACTATCTTACTTCGTACTCCTACTATCCTACTATCTTATTTCGTACTTCCTACTATCCTAAATTAACTAAAATTCGCGGGTTACTCACGTGTAAATGTTGAGAAAAGCTCTACTAGTTTCGAACCACAGAGGGGTTCTTCCTCATGAGCAGCGTGCGCGGACGCGGCGACGTCGCGCAGCCTACTGATGAGCCAGTAGGCTGCGCCATTTACACGTTTACACGTGAGTAACCCGCGAATTTTAGTTAATTTAGTATGTCTCACGATAGTTATTATAAAAACATTCCTACTATCCTATTTGGTGCTTCCTACTATCGTACTTATATATTATAAATGTGAAAGTTTGTGAGAATCTATGGATGTATGTTTGTTAATCTTTCAGACAAAAACGGCTCGACCGATTTTGTTTGAAAGGACATGGCCAAAAAAGTACATTCCACGTACACGAACAAAATTAATACACTGTAAAATACAAATAGAAATATGAATTATTACGTAGTTTTTAGCCTCTCCAGACCTGACAATTATTATTAAAAAAACACTTTATAATAAAAATATAAAAGTGAATTATTACGTAGTTTTATTTTATTTGTTCTCCTTAATAAATAAATCATTATTCTTTATACATATTCTTTTGTTTTATTTTATAAATAAATAATTAAAACGCCATGGTTTTTAAAAGCAAAATCTTATTTCGTGCACTTATGGCCAGTAATCTGACTAAAGGTTTAGTGAAACTATTTTCGTCTTGTTTGTTATAATTACGAGTTCTTCATGTGTTTTATTTTTTGCAATTTAATTTAATAATATTCACGAATGTAAACACCAAAAATCATTGATGTATATTGAATTCAATTACTATGCAAACGCCCATACAAAAGTTGGCCATGTCCTTTAGTATGAAGACAGTGACCTGGATTAACACATAGGCTGCTTGTTATGAACATACCACGTGGGCGAAGCTGTGGGCGGAAGCTAGTATGTACCTTCATAAAAAAGTATAATTACCTCTTTGGAATACTTAATTAAGAATTCGTAAGACTTCTGTATCTGTTTTCGAAATCGCATAGCAGACTGGACGCGAGCCAAGCACTCCCAGCAGACCTGGATTTCTAATCCATCTGGCACCTGGAACAAAGTGGAAATGGCCATTAATTATATTACGAACAGCAAACATGTAACGGAATATTTCCATCCACCAATTAAGATGATGAAAAAAATATATAATTACGTACAAGAAAGTAATTAGAATATCTTAAATTGAGGGCTGTATTTTCAATAGTCAGATTGATGTTATCTTAGGAATAAAATTGTTGCTGTCACTGTCTTATACAAACATTCTGACGCGACAGCATCATAATTATTAACCAGGTAACTTTTATCTAACTAACCATTGAAGAAACAGCCCTAAACTAATTAAGATTAGGAGTGGGCTCGCTACGTTGCCGCTTAGTACAATACCGCCGACGTATCTTGGCGACTCTGAAGTTAGCCGATTAGCAGCGCAGTACACAATTTTGTTCCTAAAAGATCCATTGCGCAGACAAACGGCTAACTTCAGACTCGCCAAGATACGTCGGCCGTACTGTAGGTGTACCTATGTACTCTAGAGTTCCGAGCGCGCCTCCAAGAGCCAATAGATAGACCATCACAGACGGGGCCGAACATGGTCGATGTTCAGCCGGAGTTGCGGAATAAGCGCATTAAAATGACTCCCGGAATATCTATTTTTTTTTGACGAGGAAAATCATGAAACGTGTTCTCTCGCCCAGAGAGACGAGAGCTCCCTCTTTTGTCAGACTCTTACTGACTAAAATGTACCCCGTTCCTTCTCCTACTCTGGGCCGAGGTCGCGGTGCCTCGTTGCGCTTACGCCGTCACCTCGGCTGAACATCAGCCCCATAGGTCCCGTCTGTGGTGGTCTATTGGCTCTTTAAGGCGCGCGCGGAACGCTACGCGCCGTACGCTCTGGTCTGGTTCTGGTCAGGCGGCGAGCTACCCTTAGGTACTCACCGTCGGCAGACCAGCGCTTATGGTGGCCGGAGATCATTTCTCGATCCCCAACGCCCGCAATGTCGCCTACTGCGGCGGTGGAGCCCTGACCTAGGATCCTGTTCCCGATACCGGTGTGACACTATTTTTTATAATTTTAAATGTTTTTATTTTTAAGTTTTCTTTTGAAAATGATATATTTAGAGGAAAGATTTGATTGTTGGTTTGTTTGTATTGAGTAAGCTCCGAAGCTACTTGACCGATTACACTATTGAAAAGCTTCACTACTCCTGGTGAACATAATGCTCTAAACTACGCGAGAGGAACCGCGGGGCACAGCGAGTATTGTATAATATTTAAAAACACACAGATTTTCAAAACAATTGAACGGCCAGATTTTTAAAAGAAAAAAAATTTGCCGTTAATTTTTTTTATTTAAGTAAAACTACGTATCATATTTTAAGGGTTTAAGGGACGAAACGTTTAATATGTTTTAATTAGGCAAGTATATTATTGTTTTTAGTGTAGAACTTTCTAACAAAACATCTACATACAACTGTTCAATAAAATTATATCAACAAATACAGAAGCTCCAAAAAAATAATTATGACAACAATGGCCGATCCAAGGATTTTTGTTCCATGTTTACATCAATTTTAAGACGAAATATGAATTAAACTGTGTCACTTACAGCCGCCATAGGTTTTTCTACGTACATTTCAGCGTAATCTAATTAGGATAATCAATTTATTTTAGAACTTACATCGATATTTCCAAGTAGTCGAAAACAATCCTTTATGTCTGAATTATAAAACATTCGACGATTATAGTTTAAACACCCCACGCAAATCCCGTTGACATTATAACCTTCTATATTAATGTTAATTTCATTCATTTTCACTAATCAGTTGCACTTTTTGATAACAAAATTTCTTTAGCAATAAAAGAAGCTTCATAGCTTTTGTTCAGCCATATTGAAACTGCATTGAACGCTCCGTCACACGTAATATTTAGAATTAAATTGTAAAAAATAAACAGTTGGTCACATAGGTTGATACTAAGTTTTGTGTAAAAAACACTTTTATTCTGTTTAACTATTATTATATTAAATAAAAACTAATGAAAACAAAAATTTATGTATGAAAACCAGTTTTGAACTGAAGTAATAAGTTCTAAATGTAAAGAATCGCATTTGTTGCGTTCCAGTACAAATACATCACTTAGTCAACTTTCATAGCATCATATTTTACCTTAGTCTTCTAAATACGTATTAGATGAAATAGAGAACAAAATATGTTTAGTTTCATATTATATTAATTGAAAAACAATGCAAATAATTTTTCATCTGTATCCATAACAATTGATTGTTGACTGAGCGGTAAAAAGTGTGAAAACGTCTTATTGAGACAAATAGTGAATTTTCTTCGAATGTTTTAATAAATAAGTGCTTTAAACTATGTTCCGTTCACCGAAGGACATGGTATATCAATCAAAACCGAAGGAAATTGATGAAATTATAACAGACGATGGTTTCAATTGTGATTTATGTAATAGTGGCCCTTACTCTACTGAATTCGACGTTGAAATACACCGTCGTAGCGCTCATAAATGGGAAATAGTTAAAGCTTTAAAAGATGACGATGTTGCTATATGTTCTGTAAGTATTAACCATGTTATTTACCACTGTGGGCGATCACTTGAGTGTTAAATCGCTGGTTGCAAAAGACTTCCAATCTGAAAGTATTTAGGGAAGCTTATAGGAGGAGATCTAACGTTTTGTGGCTGGTAAAATGATAGTTATGATGCCTATCTGCTATAAAGTCGAACAAAACAATTAACCTAACCTATCGCCAATGATTAGTAAAATCAAAAAGTTAATATTTTTTTCTTGAATGGTAACAGATTCTCCCATTCTATGTTGTCAAGTGTACTGCCAGTGTAGAGTAGTGATATGGCTTATAAATTTCGGTGGTCAACTAAGGGCTGATTTTTCAATTATTACCTACACTATATGTATACAAACCTACACTATATTATAATATACTCTGACTCTCACTGTCTTATACAGTGATAGCAAGAATTTTATTCCTCAGATAACTAGAGTATTGAAAAATCAGCCCTAAAGGCAAACAATCTTGATAAGTATGTCTTTTTTAGATTAAATAATTTGTATAAAATACATACAAAGATTATTTAAATTCAGTTTAAGAATATTATGGCATTTCCTATAGAACTAAAAAAAGTGAGTAGAAAAATGACACTAAGGATGGATCCAATCCTGTACTGTTCCATCACCAATACTGTACAGACATAGTTTGGAACTCGAGAAAGATAGGACAGTTTTTATACCAAAAATCTGTAGGAAGTTACTATTCCACGTAGTTGTGGGCAAAAGCTATTACTTAATAATATCAAACTATAATCTATCTGTTTAGGTGGATACTAAATTGTTAAAATTTTAACATAGAATTTTTAGTCAGCTTTTTGATAAAAAGACATGCAAGCAGAATGTCGGTCCATATAACAGCTTGGAGTTGTCATGCTCACTGAAAGGTCACACTGGCAGTGGCACGGGCCTGGATCGCTTAATTTGTGTAATGAATAGGCACCGTCAGTTTGGACTGGTCTGCTCCGGACTGTATTGTCCTTAAGGTCATTTTCTTTTTAACTTTCTCTGAATAAATATTAGTGTTACACTGTTCTCACATTATTGAACCTACTGTTAGTAAAAGGAATCTGTATGTGAAACTGATTTAAAAAGAGTAACCATGGAGTTTCATGTTCATTCTTCTCCATCGGAATCTACACTTTGGAACGAGCAAATAGCTTCACTAAGAGGACTGACCGACAGACTGTAACTATATCTCCAAAATTTGTTTGACATTCAAATGTGCCTGTAAGGGTCTAATTGGAATAAAGATTTTTGACTTTTGACTATTTCAAAGATTGTTTAAGTACATTTAGTTAATGATACCTGAACCAAAATGATATTATTCTAGAGACTCACTTTCTTTTAATATTATAACAAACACCATAAACTTCTTTGTTATTCCTAGAAGAAGATTAACTAGAATGCTATAGCAATTAAATATTAACATTAAGGAGAATTAATTGCTCTGACATGCAAAACAACCTTTGCGGGAACAGCTAGTTTTTCTTAGTAATATGTATTTTATGTAATATACATATATGTATGTTTTTTATGTATTTTAATATATACTCAGTGTGGGAGAGCCATGTTTCGGCATGAATGCTCCGGCTCGACTGCAGTTATACCACGGCCTCACAGAAAACCGGCGTGATCAACACTTATCGTTGTGTTTCGCCGTGTGAGGGAGGTTATCGGAGGCCCAATTCTGCCCCCTTCTAACCTTAAATCACAAGAGGCCGGCAACGCACTTGTAGTAGCTCATTTGGTATTACGTGTGTCCATGGGCGGCGCTGATTGCTTACCATCAGGTTATCCGTCGGCTCGTTTGCCGACGTATTAAATAAAAAAAGGATTATTTAAAAATGTATTTTTAGATATTTAAATAAATTATTTTTTTTATTTCAGATATGCTTCTACATACAAAAAGACAAGGAGTCACTAGTACAACACATTCTAACAGACCATCTCTGTTCCTCCCCAGATGCAAAGGTGATAAACAGAGAAATTTTCGTCTGCGATTACTGTGATCACTTGTTCTTCAACAAAGACCTCCTTATCGCCCACATTTACCATTTCCACGTAGCGAAAGAATTAAAAAAAGTATCAAATATACGCCATAATTGCCCTAAATGCATGAAGCTGATATCTGCAAAGTCGACGTGGTTTCATCTTTTGAGTCATGGAGTAATCAACTCAAGAGTTTGTCCAATTTGTTTAAAATGCTTCAATAGAAATGCTGAGGTCTTAAATCATGTGAAGACTCATAAAGCGCATTTGAGATGTAATATATGTGGGTTCGTTACAATGAAGGAGTTAATTTTGAGCAGTCATATAAAGAAACATCGGAAAGATAGGTATTTTACTGGCAAAGCTGATGTGTCCAAATATTTTGTACCGTGTCGTCTGTTTCCGTCTACTAGGAAACAGAGCCATGTTATGAAAGGCATTCCAATGGCTAGCGAGGTACGCATCTGTGTGATTTGTCGGACGGTCTGTCTCAACAATGATGAAATGTTAATGCACATATATGGGGACCACGCACCCGATGAGAAGGAGAAATCGAAGAAATATCAATGCGTTTGCGGCGAAGAGTTTTTCAATAATGTTCTGTTGAAGCATCATATTTTTAAAATGAGAAGCGGCCATAATGTTTTTGTGGGGGGTAAGTGGTTCTTCTTTTTAATATTTACTAGCTTATCCATTTGATCGTAGCGTGGTGTTTTATAGCCTATAGCACTCAGGAGCATTGTAGCTATCTATCAGTGAAAGAATTTTGGCAATCCGACCAGCTGTTCCAAAGATTACCCCCTACATACAAACTTACAAATTTTATCTCTTTATAATATTAGTATAAATGGGACTAGGTGGTTAATGAACCGGTGGGTCAGTTGATGGAAAGCAATTGGCACCGCCTTTTTTTTGTGAAGGGAAAAATCATCATATCTCTCGAGCTGCCTCCCTCTAGGCGAGCATAACTGCTTCACAGAAAGAGGAATGGGAGAACAGGATTTGGGGATGGGAGAACAGGGTTTGGGGATGGGAGAACATGGTTTGGGGACGGGGAGAACAAGGTTTGGGGGATAGGGAACATGGTTTGAGGATGGGAGAAGAGGATTTGCTGATGGGAGAACAGGGTTCGGAGATGGGGGAACAGGATTTGGGATGGGAGAACAGGGTTTGGGGATGGGGGGACATGGTTTGAGGATAGGGGAACATGATTTGAGGATAGGGAAACATGGTTTGAGGATGGGGTAACAGAGTTTGGGGATGGGGGAACAGGATTTGGTCCTCCGCTATTCTTAGCGAAGCGCGTGATATAAATATTCTCCTCACGCCCTTCGCCTAAAACAGCTGTAACTCCTGTAAGCCAGGGTCTACAGTCCAGACGGGGCCCTATAGGGCTCATGTTCAGCCGGGGTTGCGGGGTAAGCGCAATGAGTCACCGCGACCTTGGTCCAGAGTAAGAGAAGGAATGGGAGGTTTTTAGTCAGTAAGTGTCTGACACTCCCTCCCGCCGGCCCTGGGCGGCAGAAGTCACTTGATGATTTTCCTCTCACAAAAAAGGGTCTACAGTAGTAACTCCTTCGGTATTGCGGATGTCCACGGCTGACTCTGATTGCTTGCCATCAGGTTACTCGTCACCTCGTTTTCAATCCTATCACATGAAAAAAGAAGACAGACAAAGAATTGTTTTTGTTTTTTTTAGGAAATTGCCCCACACTAGCATTTTCTCCTGTGTCGTGGGTGCGTTTACAAACATACAATTTCACAGACACATCACACCCAGACCTGGAACAACGATTTGTGGATCACACAAAAAGTTGTTCCGTGCGGGAATCGACAAGCACGGCAGCCATTTGCCCCGCACCAACCGTGCAGTCAAATTGTGATGCTAGGTTTTAATAATTGATTTTATTTATTTTTTACAGAACCACAGGAGTCTGGAGAAGTCAAACACATGTGCACCTGTGGAATGGAGTTCCCAAACACACTGATGCTGAAACACCATGTGATGCTGATCAAATCCATGCACGAACCCTGTGGTAGGTATTAATCTACTTCGAAGTATCTAGAAACTGCCAACGAGCAGACGGATTACCTGATGGTAAGCAATCAAAGGAGTTACGAGTGCGTTGCCGACGTTTTGGGGATTAGGGATTTGGAGATTTTGGGAATGAGGAGGGATTGGGGGAGGGGAAGGATTGGGCCTCTTTTAACCTCACTCACACGGCGAAACACAACGCTGTGGTTGTTTAGCCATGGTTCGGCACGACTGGGTCGGCTCGACCGGAGTGATACCACGGTCTCACAGAAAACCGGCGTGAAACAACTACAGCGTTGTGTTTCGCCGTGTGAGTGAGGTTAAAAGAGGCCCAATCCTTTCCCTCCCCCAATCCCTCCTCAATCCCTAAATCTCCAAATCCCTAATCCCTAAAAGGTCGGCAACGCACTCGTAACTCCTCCGTTGCGGGTGTCCATGGGCGGCGCTGATTGCTTACCATCATGTAATCCGTCTGATCGTTTGCCGACCTATTACATAAAAAAACCTTCTCATTACTTAATAAAATGTTTTTTTTTTTCAGATGAACCTATAGCGTCGGAAGACGGGCAGTTGGGTGCTGATCTATAGACTAGCCGAAATATGGCGATTGCCTATTACATAGAAACCCCTATCATATGGACATAGGTTATGAAAAACTGTTGTTAACTGTCAATGTCCAATACGGTAGTTTCCAACTAGTCAAATTCAATACTTTTATCCAAACGTCAAAAACGATACTTTTCTATTAAATTTGTATGAATTTCTTAATAATTAAGTAAAAAAATCTAAAACTTAGTGCATCGATCGATCGATGAATAAAAGTATAGTTATTTTTCGATATTTTATTGTATTGAAATGTCGAATTAATTTATTTTTGACCTAGGAATCTACCCAATTCTGTGTACCCTAATTATGATTTTAAAGAGAATTTGGTAGCTTCCTATTCCGATTACCCCAGAGGCGAATTGAAGCCGTCAGTCGAAGGTCTTAAGGAGCTGAGGACGTTAATCATCAATACACACGTGTATTATACGACGTTTATCAACACACTTCTAAATAAAATAATACCAAATAAATAAATAAATAAATAAATAAATACTTAAATAAAAAACTTTTAAAGAGAAAACGAGACGTGTTGTGAAGAATGTTTCGTAATGGCGGGAAAAAAATATCGGTTCGCTTAAGCGCGCGCATCGGCCATAGATTAAAAATTGTTTCTTTTTTTTGGGCTTTCCGCTGATAGCATTTTAGCGCAAGTTTAAGCGTAACTCAACTGGTAATTTAAAAAACTCTATTACTCATTAGTGTATTATAGTAATATAAAAGTCAGTTTGATTATATTATTATGTAGGTGTTTAGAGCCACTTTATAACGTTTCAATACAGTAAAATATTGAAAAATAACCCATACCTACTTTGTATTTATCGTTCTATCGATACAATAAATTTTCGATATTTTTTAGTAATAAGTTAAGCTATTTGACGCAAAAATACTATGACGTCATAATTTTTAATAATACAAATTTCATAGAAAAGTATCGTTTTCGACATTCAGATAAAAGTATTGACAAATTTGACTAGTTGGAAACTTCCGTATACTCTGTCCCATTAATTCTGTTCATCCCCTAAGTTTTTAAGCGTGATGATTTGTCTTAAAGAGCAATATAAAAAGCCTTAATATATGTTTTTTATTGTTGTAAATAACTTACGTGAGTTAACGAGAAATGCTCGACTACTTTCAAGTCACAACGGGACTCTTATTCGTGACTTATTTCAGTTAAATCGCGTGAGTAAGTCGTTAACCTAAGCCTGAGGATAGTTACTATTCAAAAGTATACATACATACAATATACAGAATCGCAAGGATTTCGAAAAATTCTTTATAAGATTTTTTTTGTGATTTTTCAGTACCAAATTAATTCTAGTGTTTATTCTAAGTTTCTCTATCCAAACTAATATTATAAATGCGAAAGTAACTCTGTCTGTCTGTCTTTTCTTCATGCCTAAACAACTGAACTGATTTCTGTGAAATTTGTTATAGACATAGTTTGGAACTCGAGAAAGGACATAGGATAGTTTTTTAAACCAAAAATCTGCAGGAAGTCATTATTTCACGCAAACATAGTCATTGTCAAAAGCTACTTAACCTTATATATCACAAATTCTGCTTCAACGAACATGTTTTTTTTATAATAGCGGCCCCGCTACGCACGGGTCCAACTATCTCGCTATCAAAGGGTCACTTTTTCCCAATCTTCCCCTCTACTTTTCTAATATTTTCTTTTATAAGAACCTTCTCCTGACAATAACAAACACAACAAAAAGAGAATTAGCAAAATTGGTCCAGGCGTTGTTGAGTTATGCGCTTACCAACACATTTTGCGATCCATTTTTATATATAAAGATACAAACTCAAGTAATTTTTGTTTCGCCACTAGCGGGGTGACTTGTAATCAGTGACCGATATTAAAAGACGTTATTTTACTCTTGATAACACACAACTTTCCTAAAGAAACCTTTTTTAACCCCCGACGCAAAAAGAGGGGTGTTATAAGTTTGACGTGTCTGTCTGTCTGTCTGTCTGTGGCATCATAGCTCCTGAACGAATGAACCGATTTCAATTTAGTTTTTTTTTTGTATTACAGGTGTTTTACGGGCGATTGTTCTTAGACATGTTTGATGTAAATCGATTGAGCCTTTTAAAAGTTATGGGGGGGTAAGTGGGGACGGGTAACCGAAAGTCTGCAAATATACTCGCGTCGGGGGTTAAAAAGGCTAAGGCGAGAGAGTGTCAGACTCTTACTGACTAAAACACCCCCGTTTCTTCTCCTGTTTTGGGCCGAGGCCGCGGTGCCTCATTGCAGATCTAAAAACAGGATGTTTTTTGAAAGTTGTTTGTTATTTTGACTATAATAACGTGTATATAATTTTTCCACGCTACTACCTAAATAATTTTTGGACCCCTCTACCTACCTCTTGGGTTGATAAGAAAACCTAATATTTATCAAGCAATACGGTTGTTTCCAACTAGTCAAATTCAATACTTTTATCCAAATGTCAAAAACGATACTTTTCTATGAAAATTGTATGAAACATTGAATTATGACGTCATAGCATTTTTGCGTCAAATAGCTTACTTATTTTTAAAAAATTAGCTAAAAAATATCTAAAGTTGGCTTATTCCACTTTTCCCCGTTGGATGATCCCCATTGATGGGGATTAGTGAACTTTTTGTTCACTATTCCCCGTTGACCCAAAATTTTTATTTAATGGGGATAAGTGAACTAAAAAGTTCAATAATCCCCATTAGGTAGGTACGTTAAAAAAATAAAATATATGAATCATGTTACATTTATTAATTAAAAATATAACTTTCTTATACCTAATAAAATCACAGATTGTACAATTATTAATTTAAAATAAAAAATGTAACTTTCTTATACCTTGTAAAATCAAAGATTACAATCACTTAAGTTTTTCTAATTAGGTACGTTAAATAAAAACAATATAAAAATAAAATATATGAGTCATGTACTTTTATTTTTATAAGGTAAGAACAAAATTTTAAATTACCTACATACCTACTTTACGATTTTATTAGAACGAAAAACAGATTGTTGCCCCAACGAAATTGTTCTAACGATGTTGGGGAATAAGACCTTATATCTATCTATCTAATAAGATATACAATACTGTAAAAGATGCTCATTTTCTAGAGGCGCGCGCGCAAGGCGGTGGCGGAGCGGGGTGCGAGTTAGCTCGTATGTGATTGGTCGACCCATCTTTTGTTTTTGTTTCGTAGTCGTTAAGGGTTAGTAGTGTGTAGTGTAGTTCAAGCGTGCAGTTCTTATCAGTTCGCAGTTATTAGTTTAATATAGGAATAAATAAAGGAAATGGCTGGTAGTTCAACTGACGTTTGTTTAGAGTACGTTAAAAAAGGTGAAGCTACCATACTTCTCCGGGCCGGACATCAATACAGTAAAAAATGCAAATATAAAAATGGTGGAGTTTTGTGGGAGTGTACCACAAGAAAACAAAGTAAATGTGCCGGATCCATCACTGTCATGGTAAGTTACTTATTATATTTTGTGATTAATAATGACAATAATAACTCAGGTTATGTGTGTTATCAATATCACGTTTATCAATATCAAAATTTTAAAATCAACGTTAAAGTTTAAACACTGTTTCTGTCATGGCGGCACGTGTGACGTCATTCTTTTGTCAAACAAGTCTATTACACCTAGTGTAAAAGAGTGTAGCTGAAGTGAATTGTATATATTTAATTATTATTACATATTTTAGTTAAGCATAAAGTGAAATATGTTTTGTTGAACTATTCTGATAGGATAACAACAATTTGTTATAAGTTTTAAAGGTTGTTAAATAGCCTATTCAATTTTGTATTCTATGTAAGTGCAATATTGTTTACTTAAAAAATAATGTAAAGTAATTAATTATTATTACTTAATTTTACAGGACAATCAAGTTGTAGCTGAGAAACGACACAATGTTTGTGAACCTGATTTTGCGCGAAATGAAGTTACCTTGAGGTTATTCAAACTAAAAACTACACTTGCGGATCCAGAAGCACCTGCTATTCCCACTGCTTACAACGCGGCTGTGAGCTCACTAAAAGATACCGGAATTGACAAAATAAAAGAATTCCCTGCCCTGAAGTCTATCAAAACAACATTATATAAACACAGAAATGCAGCATTTGAAGTAAGTAAAATTGAGTTCAAAAATGTTGAAGAAGTTAAAGTACCTCCAGCTCATCAGGAATTTATTTTAGCAGACTACAATGACAGTGGTATCCGTGTAATAGCTTTTTGCACTGAATTTGCCCGACATCAAATGAAAAATTTGAAGATGTTCTTGGGTGATGGAACGTTTTGGATCTGTCCATCTCCCTTTTACCAACTCTACACCATTCATGGGGATTTGGGCAGTACAGAAAAACACATAAACATTGTGCCACTTGTTTATGCCCTCATGAGCCATAAAAATCAACAAACATATGAAATTTTATTTAGTATCCTAAAATCTGCATTACCTGATTGGAATCCAGAAATATTTAAATGTGACTATGAAGTGGCTCCGATGAACGCAATGCGAAATGTTTTTGTAAATATATCTATTAGCGGCTGTTATTTCCATTTCACCCAGGCAATATGGAAGAAAGGAAAACAACTCAAACTAACAAAAGATAAATTAACCAGAAGACAAGTTGCACTTAGCACTGCTTTGGCTTTGTTACCATCAGATAAAATCATTGCGGGTTGGTTTTATGTTGCCTCTCAAAGCCCTGATGATGATAATAGCAAGGAGTTTAGAAATTACATGCTCAGACAATGGCTACAAGATGATTTTATTAAAACGTGGTGTGTATTTGGACAGACTCATCGCACTACGAATTTAGTCGAAGCATGGAATAATAAAATAAAAAAGCGTGTGAAAATAAAGAAACCCAACATTATGAAGCTCCTCACAGCGTTGGCTGAAGATGCATCGTATTACGAAGTTCTTGCATTGGGGGTTTCTGAAAATAAAGGTATAGCGGAAAAAACAAAAAAAAGCATCAATCGCGATAATTATATACAGGAGGTCCAAATGGAACTCATTAATAATGAAATTACGATTGGGCACTGTTTAGAAAAACTTAAGTGAGTGTAATCTTTGATTTTACAAGGTATAAGAAAGAAATATGTTCATGCTACAATTTTAAATTAATGATTGTAACAATCTGTGATTTTACTAGGTATAAGAAAGTTATATTTTTTATTTTAAATTAATAATTGTACAATCTGTGATTTTACTAGGTATAGGTTTTAAATTAATAATTGTACAATCTGTGATTTTACTAGGTATAAGAAAGTTATATTTTTTATTTTAAATTAATAATTGTACAATCTGTGATTTTACAAGGTATAAGAAAGTTACATTTTTTATTTTTAATTAATAATTGTACAATCTGTGATTTTATTAGGTATAAGAAAGTTATATTTTTAATTAATAAATGTAACATGATTCATATATTTTATTTTTTTAACGTACCTACCTAATGGGGATTATTGAACTTTTTAGTTCACTTATCCCCATTAAATAAAAATTTTGGGTCAACGGGGAATAGTGAACAAAAAGTTCACTAATCCCCATCAATGGGGATCATCCAACGGGGAAAAGTGGAATAAGCCCTAAAGTTTTGTGTATCGATCGATCGATGAATAAAAGTATTGTTATTTTTCAATATTTTATCGTATTAAAACGTCGAAATAATTTATTTTTGACCTAGGAAACTACCCAATTATCGTAGTTCATATAAGGATAATTTTATATTATTATATATTATGTTTAAGCTAAAAACTTATGTTATTTTCCAAGTTTATACTTATAGCAAAATTATTTGTAATGTTATTCAGAAAATAAAGCTTGATTCAGTTCAGAGATTAACCAATCTTTTTTCTCCCTCAATCCCTAAATCTCCTTTACCGTTATCCCCATTAATTCGGCAATGTACTCGTAAGTCCTCAGTTTTTGCGAGGGTCTATGGGCGGCGCTGATTGCTTACCATTAGGTAAAAAGAAACAAAAAAAGGTGGACTCCTTCCCTCCGTTCCTTCTCCTGCTTTAGGCCGACCGAGGTCGCGGTGCCTCATTGCGCTTGCCCCGCAACCCCGGCTGAACATCAGCCCTATAGGATCGCCTACAGCGGCGGCTGGGGTGAGGAACCTTGAAGAATGGTTGTAGGTATTATGGATCTACCGGCGTGATACCACAGTGTCACAGCGTTTTAATAAGCCACTAGATACCACAAGTAACATTCAAATAGGTACTATAAGAATACAACCTAATTTAATATTTAGATACATTGCTGGATAAACTGACCTGTCCCTGCTATGAGCGGTCATATTTTTTTTATTTCGTATTAGGCAGACATTTGGCCGCTATCACGCCTGGTGGTAAACGATGATGCGTCCTACGATGGAGCACGCCTACCCATAAGTAACCTATTCACTAGAGAACTAGACTCCGGCAAAGAATTCCACTCCTAAGCGGTTCTAATTAACTGCATTTGTAGTCAAAAAGTCAAATATAGTAAGTTAGTAATGCCAAAGATGAGTGTGTCCATCGATGATTAGTTTTTTTATAGCATACTAGCTACTCTCGCGCCTTTTCACCCGGTGCTCGGCTCCATTTCGAGCATCGGCAGCGTAATATTTTATAGCCTATAGCATTCAGGAACATTGTAGCTATCTATCAGTGAAAGAATTTTGGCAATCCGACCAGCGGTTCCAAAGATTACCCCCTACATACAAACATACAGATTTTACCTCTTTATAATATTAATATAGATGTCGGCGAACTGACAGATTATCCACGGAGTAAGATACCTGATGGTAAGTAATAGGCGATGCCCATACCCACTTTAAATACCAAAGGAGTTACGACAAATGAGTTTTCGGCCTCTGGGGATTTTTTGTGAGGGGGAAATCATCAAATGACTTCTCTTATGAGGGAGTGTCAGACTCTTACTGACTAAAAACCCCCCTGTTCCTTCTCCTGCTCTGGCCGGTACCTTATTGCGTTTGCACCCCAACCCTGGCTGAACATCAACCCCATTTATGGTGGAAGCAAACTTGACCCTATTCACTATTCAATAATAAGGCAACTGTTACGAAAATAATTTATTTAGGTATTAATACAATGTAATATATTAAAAGTAACTTAATTAGGTAATATAAACTTTATTGCTTTTCTCTTTCTGGTTTTGATTTATCCGAAAAAGGCGCCTCCCATTTGAGCTGAAAATAAAATAAAAAAATCCATTTAGTAAATATCTTCTGTTATTACAACCATTTTACTTATTGAACGTCGTAGTGGCCTCAAGGTTAAGGTCATGAATGAGGGCTCAAAACCTGATAAGTAGCAATCTCAATGTGACTTTTTCCGAGTACTACAGGGTGTAAAAAAACACTTAACGAAGCGAAAGCCACGTATTCTACCCATTATTTGGATCATTTTTTTCTTTAAGACCATAGCTGGGACTCCACGGGTTCTCGAGATATTGAAGGTCAAATAGGATTTTTATTTTTTATTTTTTTGCGCAGTCGAATTCTAAGTATTATTACAAAACTTTTTTCCAAACAAACATTACCTGAATTTTCGATTTTTCTCAATAAATTACGCATTTGAAGTTACGAACAGTAATGTAATAAATACGTAATAAATAAATGCAGACCCGCACAAAAAACATCGTGCATCTCAGTAGGATTTTTATTTTACAGAATTGTTTTGTTGTTGCGAAGTAAAACGTCGACCTACGTACTTATCACAGCGTTGTAATGCTAAGCTGTGAACCTACGCACACAATGACATGAAGCCCGTTTGCTTTACATTGCGCACAATAAAATTATTATTTTTTTGATACCTAAAAATAAAAGTCGTTTCCCAGTGATAATTTTAGCGTAAAGCTACTTAGTTAGAACTGCAGTATGCGTAGTTAACGGTTTCGTTAAGTGTCTTTTTACACCCTGTATGTACTTTCTATGATTATTTAGACACCACTGACATACGGTGAAGGTAAACATCGTTAGGGAACCTGGACTTTTTAATTCAAATTTTAAGTTTGAAATCGCAAATCCGCCTTGAGAAAGCGTGGTGTATGCTCAAACCTCCGTGTCAGAAGAGGCCTTTGCTCAGCAGTTGGCACTTATAGGCTGATGTAAGTAGGTATGAGACCAAATTTTTAAAAATGACGGCTCCACGGAAATTTGTATTAAATGCCTTTCTATCAAAATAGATAAAAAGACGTAAAATTAATTTTTAATTTAAGAGAGTAACCATTGAGTCTCTTTTTCGTTCTTCTCCAATCGAAACTACAATTTGGAACGAGCACCTAGCTTCACCGACGGGCAGACTGACAGACTATTCTATTTTGACTTTGGCAACTTTTTATGGTTTATTTTGGAATCAGTGAGGTTTCCGGCAGCCCAATCTTTCTCTTAAATCTCCAATCCCTCATCCCCAAAAGATTGGGAACTCGGCACTCGTAACTCCTCCACTGTTGCGGGTGTCCATGGGCGACGCTGATTGCTTACCATCAGGTAATCCGTCAGCTCGATTGCCGTCCATTCGCTTTAAAAAAAGGAATAAATGAATTTTGATTTCGCCTTACCTGCAAGATTAGTAGCCTTCCCTGTAATATCATGGGCGGCACCTAAAATAAAACAAATGATTGAGTAAATATCACCATATACTTAATTATACCAATTTCTTACAAAATCGGCTGCACAGACAACACTTTGTGTGAACTGTGATCCACAAATTGTTGAACCGTGTGTCACACAACACACGCAGACCCGGAACAACAATTTAAGTCATCCTACTAATAAGATTATAAATGACTAGCTTTTGTCCACGACTTTCTTCGCGTGGAATAGTAACTTCCTGCAGATTTTTGGTTTAAAAACTATCCTATGTCCTTTCTCGAGTTCTAAACTGTGTCTGTACCAAATTCCACACAAATCGGTTCAGTAGTTTAGGCGTGAAGAAAAGACAGACTGATTTACTTTCGCATTTATAATATCAGTTTGGTTAGCAATGGATTCTGCTAAATCTTTTAACACGGTGGCATTTTTTTTAAACTTATCCTATGTTCAAAAATTACTTTTCTACAGATTTTTTTTCTGTTAAAGTTTATGAGAATGTACGGATGTAGGTATGTTTGTTATTATTTTAATCAAAAACGAATGGACCGATTTGTTTGAAATTTGTGGACCAGATCCAGACCCGAGCGTACGGCGCGTAGCGTTCCGCACGCGCCTCAAAGAGCGAAAAGACCACCACAGACGGGGCTCTATAGGGCTGATGTTCAGCCGTTGTTGCGGGGTAAGCTCAATGAGTCACCGCGACCTCGGCCCAGAGCAGGAGAAGGAACGAAGGGGTTTTTAGTCAGTAAGAGTCTGACACTCTCTCTCGCCTTCCCTGGGCGGAAAGGTCATTTGATGATTTTCCCTGACAAAAAAAAGGTAGGTGATACCCAGGCCCTGAATAAACACATAGGCTACAACAAGTGTGGGAGAGCCTTGCTTCGGCACGAATGGGTCGGCTCGACCGGAGTGATGCCACGGCCTTACAGAATACCGGCGTGAAATAACCACAGCGTTGTGTTTCGCCGTGTGAGTGAGGTTACCGGAGGCCCAATCCTTCCCTCCCCCAGTCCCGCCTAAATCCCTAATCTCCAAATCCCTAATCCCTAAAAGGTCGGCAACGCACTCGTAACTCCTCCGTTGCGAGTGTCCATGGGCGGCGCTGATTGCTTACCATCAGGTAATCCGTCTACGTTTCGGCTCGTTTGCCGACCTATTAAATTTAACAACATATCACGCGGGTGGAATCTGGTGTTGTAGGTACCTAATAGTATATTTGTAAACGGACCCACGTTCCACGAAACAGGAGAAAATCTTAGTGTTGGACAAAGAATTAATAAAAAACTACAGTAAAGAGTATCGATTCAGACATTTCGATAAAATATTGAATACTAACTTCCGCCAGCGGCTCCGCCCTCGTTGTATGTTGATAAAATGTAGCTTAGGTCCTATTCCGGAGTGTATCCTATGCCTGTGCCAATTTTCATCCAGATCCGTTCAACAGTTTTGGCGTGATTGAGTTGCAAACATCCAAACATTGTAACTTTCGCATTTATAATATAAGTAAGATAACTAGTGGACAGACAGACAGACATATTTATATATTACTTACCGACAAAACTTCCAGCTAAATCATGTGCTGCACCTGAAAATAATAGATTAAAAATTTTAGTTTCCACAAATATCGCGATTATTCTGTTTGTTTTTCTGTGTCGAAGTCAAAGGTTGTGTTTCGCCGTGTGAGTGAGACTACCGGAGGCCCAATCCTCAAATCCCCTATCCTTTAATCCCTAATAACCCACAGAGACCGGCAACGCACAATTGTAGCACTCCTTTGGTAGTACGAGTGTCCATGGGCAGCGCTGATTGCTTACCATCAGGTAATCCCGGGTGTGCCGACTGATGTCGTAAAAAATTAAATCTTTAATCGCTTAACGGGTTTTTACTTTTTACTTGAATGTTAGGCAGCCTCGATTGTTTACCACCGTTCTTCCATCTCCTTTTTTGCTGACGACGTATGGTACCTCATCATCATCATCATCATCATCATCAGCCTATAAGTGCCCACTGCTGAGCAAAGGCCTCTTCTCACACGGAGAAGGTTTGAGCATTAATCACCACGCTTGCTCAATGCGGGTTGGCGATTTCAAACTTACAATTAGAAATTATAAGTCCAGGTTTCCTCACGATGTTTACCATCACCGTATGTCAGTGGTGTCTAAATAATCATAGAAAGTACATATAATGCGGAAAAAGTCACATTGGTACTTGCCAGGTTTCGAACCCTCATGCATGAGAAGCGGGCTCCTTGACCTCCGGGCCAATGGTACCTATGTCATCAAAAATACTATTATTGAATATTTATGAAACAATCGAATTTATAAAATACCTGCAACTTTATTTGCGTTTCCTGCATATTGTTGAGCTTGTCCTGTAATAAGGGTTTCATAATTATTTTCACAATGTGATAAAATGACACAATAAAACAGCACGAAAATATATAAAAACTAGCTATTCTCGCGCAGCTTTATCCGCTGCTCAGCTCCATTTGATTGTAGCGTGATGTTTTATAGCCTATAGCACTCAGGAACATTGTAGCTATCTATCAGTGAAAGAATTTTGGCAAACCGACCAGCGGTTCCAAAGATTACCCCCTACATACAAACATACAAACTTACAAATTTTATCTGTTTATATTAGTATAGATAAAGATATACAAAATTTATTGACAATGACCTCCGTGACAATGACGACGAAAGATGACGGACTCACGTCAATTACTTAATTGACAAAAGCTGTTCTAGTTACTATAGCTTGCACACTGCTTAAAAACAAGAGACCTGGTGAGACTTGAAACTAGTTGAGGTTTTTAACTTAGAAAAAAGCTGATTTTTCAACGGTTAGGTAGATAAAAGTTACCTGGAGAATTATTATGATGCTGTCGCGTCAGAATGTTTGTATAAGACAGTGACAGCAACAATTTTATTCCTCAGATAACATTTATCTGACTATTGAAAAATCAGCCCTAAGTCGTTAGTTTCAATTTTTGTATGTGGCACGATCGTTAACTATAACATGGCATCAGCCGGGGTTGCGGGGTAAGCGCAATGAGGCACCGCGACCTTGGCCCTGAGCAGGAGAAGAAACAGGGGGGTTTTTAGTCAGTAAGAGTCTGACACTCCCTCCCGCCCGGCCCTGGGCCGGAAAAGTCAATTGATCATTTTCCCCTCACAAAAAAAACAACTACAACATGACATGCCATTATAAACATATCAATGTAACAAAATAACATCACATCGTGAAGACGCACACAGATCGACGACAATGATCAGACGTTCGATTCAAACGTAGTGTAGGGCGCCTTCCAGCTAGACGGACTGACGATATCCGTGGTGTGATAAAAGATAAAAGATAAAGATAAAAGATAATTTATTTTGTAAAACATGGGTGTATGTGTACAAAGCAAATAATTGCAACATAAGGTGTAAAAAATAATAATAATCAGACCCTTACATGTTTTGCCTAGGATAGGCGTACAAAATTTTGTTCTTTTTGAACCAAAACGTCATAGTGTTAGGCATCAATTAAGTATTCCTTCAGATTATAAAAACATTTGCTAATAAGAAATTTCTTTAATTGTAATTTAAATTTATTTAAGGGAAGCTGCTGAATGGATTTTGATATTTTATTATAAATGACAGGCGCTAGGCAGAATACACTTTTGTGCATTAGTGCAGTTTTGCATGGCACAACACTTAGTTTGTCACCATCCTTACGGCTACGATTGCTTGCATCGGCAAGGCGACTAAATACTGTGGCTGACAGTGATTAGACGGGAAGAGCTGAACATCGAGTTCAGTTCAACATTTCACTCACATATCTACCTGGCCATTATACCTATATGTCGCCCTGCAACCCTAATCGATCGACTGCCGTTTCATCAGATCAAGCTAAAAGATTTAAGGGATAGAGATTGCACCTTCGTTTGTGTGCACAGTTGGGCCCTACGACATTACTTGGTCTACTTAAAAGACCGCCTACTGATGATGAAAATCAATCAATGAACATTGTTATTATAACATCACTAGACGCAGTGACTTGACTCCGGAGTTGGTCTACTGAGAAGACCGGGCGTCTTTTACAGATGCTGATGATGGGAGGTTTTCGTGTCGTTATACCCTTATACAATACTTTTTAGTCTTTTTCGCCAAAGTGCTAGGCACCATTTGAAGGTTCCATGTAAACAAAAAATAAATGGTTTAAAATACTTACCACTTATGCTAGAGAAACCGCTTGCTGGATTACCCTGCGCTGATGAAGAGAGCGTCGACACAGCTGAATGAGGGTTGAAAGCTGATAGTAATGAACCTGTTGGATATAATAACAATAATAATTAAAATGTGTTTAAATTCTTTGTTTTTTATTTTAGTTCTTGTAGTAATGCTTCGGCACGAATGGGTCGGTTCGACCGGAGTGGTCACGGCCTCACAGAAAACCGTGAAACAACCATAGCGATGTTTTTCGCCGTGTGAGTGAGGTTACTGGAGGCTCAATCCTTCCCCTCCCCCAGGTGCGTACCATCATGCTAACCGTTTGCTCGTTTGCCGACCAATTACCTACATAAAAAAGAGAGTGTTTAAATTATTATAAAAATACGAATATTCCTTTAACCATGGAGTTTCTTGATCATTCATCTCCATTGGAATATACACTTAAGAACGAGCAAATGGCTTCACTAAAAGGACTTCGTATTTTTCTAATAACTTCTAATATTTTTACTAATTATTGACAAAGAAACTCGCCGTCACAACCACCACAACCCATAATCCCAAATAAGTTTTGTAACGTATTGTTTTATAAAATTCATAAAAGACTGTAAATTTTGACAATTCGAAAGACGCGCACGCTGCTCACGAATAAGAGTCCCGTCGTGACTTGAAACTAGTTGAGCTTTTCACAGTTAATTCACGCGAATTAGTCCGTTATTATCAATACATTTTAGAACAATATTCACGAAATAGTTAATCAATAAAAAACTTGAGTAAGTATTCCAAAAAAAAAAAATCCTTAACGCTAAAACAATAACTATATTACCAACCTGCTGGTGCAAAACTGGATATCGCCTGCGCGCTCGAAGCAGCATTCTGAACTGCAGAAGCCTGTGATGGCAAACTTCCAGGCAAAGAGGATGGAAGACCAGAACTGGGCACTCCTTGAGAACTGATAGCAGATTGCAGTTGTGTAATGGACACTGCTTGACCAGGATTAACAGCACTGCCGACGCTTGAAGGCATTGCTGAAGGCATGGATTCTAAACCTGTCATGGGATTTGGTATATTACCAGGAGTTAAGTTTGGAAAGTTAGGTAATGATGGGGAACTATGGGAAGGAGAAGCAGCGCCTCCAGTTATGGAAGGAGTACTGCTAGTAGGCGTGCTTGTAGAAGATGCTGCTACGGGGGTAAAATCTGCAGCAGGAGGGGTGGCATCCGAGGCAGCTGTAGTTGCTCCGGGTCCTGCTGTAGGTGTGCTTGCACCAGCGGCTGCTGTAGTTTCTGCTCTTTGAGTTGTTGCTCCTGCAGGAGTAGAGGCGCCTGCAGGGGTAGTTGCACCTGAGGCTGCTGTAGTTGCACCCACTGGGGTGGTTGCACCAGCTGGAGTAGTTGCACCGGTGGCTGCTGTAGTTGCGCCAGCTGGGGTAGTTGCGCCAGCGGCTGGTGTAGTTGCACCAGCTGGCGTTGTTTCACCACCTGCAGTAGTTGCACCTGCAGGGGTAGTTGCACCTGAAACTGTTGTAGTTGCTCCCGCTGGGGTAGTTGCGCCAGCTGCGGTAGTTGTGCCAGCTGGGGTAGTCGCGCCAGTTGCGGTAGCTGCACCAGCTGATGTAGTAGCACCAGGGGCTGCTGTAGTTGCGCCAGCTGCGGTACTTGCACCGGCTGGTGTAGTAGCACCAGGGGCTGCTGTAGTTGCTCCTGCTGGGGTACTTGCGCCAGCTGGTGTTGTTGCACCAGGGGCTGGGGTAGTTGCGCCAGCTGGGGATGTTACTCCAGCGGCTGCGGTAGTTGCTGGAGTGGTTGCGCTAGCTGCGGTACTTGCGCCAGCTAGTGTAGTTGCGCTAGATAGGGTAGGTGCACCAGCTGGAGTTGTTGCGCCAGCTGCGGTACTTGCGCCAGCTGCGGTAGTTGCGCCAGCTGGGGAAGTCGCTCCAGCTGGTGTAGTAGCACCAGGGGCTGCTGTAGTTGCTCCTGCTGGGGTAGTTGCGCCTGCTGCGGTACTTGCACTAGCTGGTGTTGATGCACCAGGGGCTGGTGTTGATGCACCAGGGGCTGGTGTTGATGCACCAGGGGCTGGTGTTGATGCACCAGGGGCTGGTGTAGTTGCTCCCGCTGCTGTAGTTGCGCCAGCTGCGGTACTTGCACCAGCTGGTGTTGTTGCACCAGGGGCTGGTGTAGTTGCTCCTGCTGGGGTAGTTGCGCCAGCTGCGGTACTTGCACCAGCTGGTGTTGTTGCACCAGGGGCTGGTGTAGTTGCTCCTGCTGGGGTAGTTGCGCCAGCTGCGGTACTTGCACTAGCTGGTGTTGATGCACCAGGGGCTGGTGTTGATGCACCAGGGGCTGGTGTAGTTGCTCCCGCTGGGGTAGTTGCGCCAGCTGCGGTACTTGCGCCAGCTGGGGTAGATGCGCCAACTGATGTAGTTGCACCAGGGGTTGGTGTAGTTGCTCCTGCTGCGGTAGTTGCGCCAGCTGGGGTAGTTGCACTAGCGGCTGCTGTAGTTGCTCCCGCTGGGCTAGTTGCGCCATCTGCAGTACTTGCGACAGCTGGGGTAGTTGCACCAGCTGGGGCAGTAGCACCCGCAGCCGCTGTAGTTGCTCCTGCTGCAGTACTACCACCAGCTCCTTTTGTAGTTGTTCCAGAAGGAACCGTCACTCCAGGCGTTACAGCATTAGGTAGACTACCACTATCAGTGCCAGATAAATTAGGAGAAGTTGGACTACCACCAGGGAAGGATGGTATTGGAACACCACCGAAACCAGGTAACGATGGGGCTGGTGATCCGGATGGATTCGTAGCAACTGAAGCTAGATTTCCATTAGATTGAGGAACTGATGGTGATCCATTCGCTAGAGAAGATGGGTTCGAAGGAGAACCCGAAGCAGTATTAGCATGAGAAGCTGGTAATATTGAAGATACGAAATTTGAAACTAATGATCCAACCGGATTTTGAGGTAATTTTGGGGATAAAGCGTTCAAAATAGTTCCTGGATTAAATAAATTAGGGGTCGGCGCCTGTTTTTGAGGTGCGGCTTGCTGATGTTGACTGGTGAAGGGATTGAAGGAGAATGGGTCAGGCATTGAGAAGCTGTTGTCGTTTAGTGATATACCTGTTAACAAAATAACGTTTTCAACACACTTCCTTATAAAGTGGTTCTTATCCCACGGTAATAGGCACGTAATGATACCTATAATCAAACTGTGACTTTTTCAGCACTATTAGGCCGAGGTCGCGGTGCCTCATTGCGCTTAGCTCGGCTGAACATCAGCCTTATAGGGCCCCGTCTGTGGTGGTCTATTGGCTCTTTGAGGCGCGCGCGGAATGCTACGCGTCGTACGCTCGGGTCTGGTACTGGTCGGGCGACTAGCTACCCTCACTCGCTGCTTACCATTGCTTACCATCAGGTAATCCATCAGCAGGTTTACAATGGGACGTTGATAAAAAAAGCATCTTTACTGTAATAATTATAAGCAAAAATTTAAGTGCTCGATTAGGTTAAACTTTATCGCGGCCCCTGTCCCGAGGATGAAAAGGAATGGTTTGGTTGGTTTTTAGTCAGTGTCTAAAAGTCTGATACTCTCGCTCCATCTAGAGTGGGATCGCAAAGAGGGAGGCGGCCCGCGTAAGAGAACAATCCAGAAACAGACCCGAGCGTAAGGTACGTAGCGTTCCGCGCGCGCCTCAAAGATCCAATAGACCACCACAGACGGGGCCCTATAGGGCTGATGTTCAGCTGAGGTTGCGGGGTAAGCGCAATGAGGCACCTCGACCTCGGCCCAGAGCAGGAGAAAGAACGGGGGGGAGGCGGGGGGGTTAGTCAGTAATAGTCTGACACTGCCTTCCGCCGGACCCTGGGCGGAAGAAGTCATTAGATGATTTTCCCCCCACAATAAAAGCCCGTGGATGTTTGTTATTCGTTCGCAATTTGGTATTGTGGTATCACTACCACGTTAAAAATGATCCAATGACTTCTCCCGTCCTGGATGGTAGAAAAGTGTAATGGTAATAAATATTCTAAGTACTTACTGAACCCCTGTTTTGCTATCGAAATGTTGAACTGCAACAAAATATATATATTTATTAAAATAATCACATCATACAGACATCATCAGCCTATAAATGCCCACTGCTGAGCAAAGGCCTCTTCTCACACGGAGAAGGTTTGAGCATTAATTACCACGCTTGCTCAAGGCGGATTCGTGATAACAAACATGTGTAATTAAAAATATAAGTCCAGGTTTCCTCACGATGTTTTCCTTCACTGTATGTCAGTGGTGTCTAAATAATCTTATAAAGTACATATAACTCGGAAAAAGTCACATGATAGGCTTATAGTTCAACAATATTATTTAGATTTAACTAGCTTTTGCCCGCGACTCCGTTCGCGTGGAATAGTGACTTCCTGCAGATTTTTGGTTTAAAAACTATCCTATGTCCTTTCTAGAGTTCTAAACTATATTATTGTCTGTACCAAATTTAACACAAATAGGTTCAGTAGTTTAGGCGTGAAGAAGACGGTCAGACAGAGTTACTTTCGCATTTATAATCTATACCTACTAATATCTTTTGAGATTATCTATACTATTGATAATCGCGAAAAATCGTATGTACCTTAGTAAGTAGGAAATCAAATCAAATCAAAATCATTTATTCCAACTAAACCATAAATAGGTACTTTTGAAACGTCAAAATAGAATAGCAGTCTGTCAGTCTGTTCGTCAGTGAAGCTAGGTGCTGGTGGGACTAGGTGGTCGAAATTTGTTACTCTTTCATGTAAAAACTACTGAACGGATCCTAATAAAATTTGGCACCGAAATAGAATAAATATAGTCTGGAATAACACCTAATAAACTTTTTACCGCTAATATAAGCTAGAATAGCGTAGAATATTAATGAAAAAAAAAAATACTCACCAAAAAACAAAAAAATATTAAGAAAAATTTCCTCTTCATTTTGTTATCGGCACAATAGTAACACCACTAAAATTAACAAATAATCTACAAATACAAAAATTTCAAATACGTGGTTTTAAGTTATATACAACCATATGAACAAATAATGCATATTTAATTATTTAATCATCCACTTTGCTTTGTTCGAACAGCTGGTGTGATGGCGATTGTTTCAAATTTTATAACAATACATTCTTGTGTGGCTACCAAATCTGCGAGTTCACGATATTTGGAACTGCCGTTCTGTATACGGGAAGAGACTTGGCCCTTTATTACAAGGACTTATAGCATTACTGGTCTTAACGAAAGAAAATTTAAAACTTATATTAAACGCGAATTGTGTAGACAGGCATAGGTACTACAAACTTTCAGATTATATTGAGCATAAGAATGCCTGGCAGCATGTTGGTTCGGCTCCACTGGACAAAACTCAAATACAGTCAGAAGTAAGTAGAATTCTCAAAAGTAATGAAACCTTGAATGAGTTTATATAGAAGCATTCTTTTGGATTGTGAGTACGCATATGTGAGCGCCATGTTCGAGACGACAAAGGAGTAAAATTTTATGATAGATCTCATCATTGGTTTTTTTTTACAACTTGTCTCTGCATTGTCCTTGTCTCCATAAGGGTACAATAATGTATACTAAATGTTATATCATTGAAATTGTAAAACATTTTTTTTAAAGAGTAAGGGTGGAGTTTCTTGCTCGTTCTTCTCCATACGAATCTACAATTTGAAACGAGCACCTAGCTTCACTGACGAACATACTGACAGACTACTATTCTAATTTGACGTTTCAAAAGTACCTATTTATGGTTTAGTTGGAATAAATGATTTTGACTTTGACTTTGGTGAAAAATGTTTTAATAAAATGAGAAAAAAGTGAACAACCTTCAACAGAACCTTCTCCTTTTTGGTAAGTCGGTTAATAAACTTAGTGATGTGAAAAATACAACTTAAATGCACAAGAGCTAACTGACCACTACAGATGGGGCCCCATAGGGCTGATGTTCATTTTCGTCGTTTGGCCCCTAAGTTAGAACGGTCTGGGGCCGCGCTCAAGCGGCTCCTTCCCAACCTCGGGGGGCCAAACGCCTCCTGCCGGAGGTTGTATATGGGGATTGTGCGATCCATGGCCCTCTTCGGTGCCCCTGTGTGGGCGCCGGCCTTGAAGCGGCGGCCGGCTCGTACGCTGGTCGCGTCCCAGAGGGTCATGGCTATTCGAGTAATCCGCGGGTATCGCACGATCTCCGGGGAGGCGGCGAACCTCCTTGCCGGATCACCGCCGTGGGATCTAGAAGCGAAGGCGCTCGCGCGCGTCTACAGTTTGCGCGCAGACGCGCGTCGCCGGGGCGAAGATCCTCTGCCGCGCCAAATTAGTGCGTGGCGGAATGAGCTCCGGCGAGATCTCATGGCAGAGTGGAAACAGCGACTGTCGCAACCGAGGGCCGGGCACGCTACCATAGCAGCGGTAAGACCCCTCTTTGAGGAGTGGCTTGAGAGACGCCACGGCGTCCTCACCTTCCGTCTGACGCAGGTGCTTACCGGGCACGGCAGCTTCGGTAGGTTCCTGTTTCGGATTCAGCGGGAGGAAACGCCCGAGTGTCGTCATTGTGAGGACCACCTAGAGGATACGGTGGAGCATACGGTAGCGGTATGCCCTGCCTGGGCTGAGCACCGCCGTATCCTCAGGGAAGTGATCGGCGGCGGCGACCTCTCGCGCCCGGCCTTAGTCGAGGCCATGGTGCGGAATGAGAGGAACTGGGACGCCGTCTCCTCCTTTTGTGAAGCAGTCATGCTCGCAAAGAGAGAGGCGGCCCGCGTGAGGGAGCAATCCTCCTCCTCACGCCCCAGCAGCCGCAACTGGCGACACTACGGGCGTCGGGGATCGAGGGACGATCTCCGGCCACCGTAAGTACGGGCCTGCGGTCGGCGAGTAAGGGCAGCTCGCCGCCCGACCAGAACCAGGCCCGAGCGTACGGCGCGTAGCGTTCCGCGCGCGCCTCAAAGAGCCAATAGACCACCACAGACGGGGCCCTACAGGGCTGATGTTCAGCCGGGGTTGCGGGGTAAGCGCAATGAGGTACCTCGACCTCGGCACAGAGCAGGAGAAGGAACAGGGGGGTTTTTAGTCAGTAAGAGTCTGACACTCCCTCCTGCCCGGCCCTGGGCGGGAGAAGTCATTTGATGATTTTCCCCTCACAAAAAAAAAAAAAAAAAAAAATAGGGCTGATGTTCAGCTGGGATTGCGGTGGCAAGCCCAATGAATGTACCTACCGGTGCCCCAGCCTGCAAGTAAGAGAATGTATGGGCTGGTTTTCAGGTTCGAAAGTCGTTAGTAACAGTATTTTTTTATGGAATATAGGAGGAAAACGAGCAGACGGATCACCTGATGGTAAGCGATCGGCGCCGCCCATGGACACCTGCAACACCAGAGGAGTCACAGACGCGTTGCCGGCCTTTTAAGAAGGAGTACGCTCGTTTCTTGAAGGTTTGAACGGTTCGGTCGTATCGGTTCGGGAATACCGCCGGCGGAAGATCATTCCAAAGCTTTGCTGTGCGGGGCAGAAAGTTACGCGAGAACCATCCACACATTGTTGTTTCGGGTCTAGGTGGCGTGTTTATGGCAATTTGTTTGTAGTTTGTAAACGCACTCAGCCCACGACACAGGAGAAAATTGTTGACAACAATCTTTGAAGATTGAGATTGATTTTAATTTGATCCTTTTCCAAAATACCACCTGTTTGGTCGATACACCTTCTAGGGAGCTATAATATATCGGAATAACTACTCTTTAAAATATATATAAAAAAATATGCTGAGGTTCCAGGGTCACAACCTTTGTTATTGATTATACTATTTGTCTTTTCCGTTATTTGTGGCGTGGACTTCCTTCGGACACAATATGCTAAAACAAAATCTTATAGATTTCGTGATTTTTCTTTCAGCGAAATTATTTAATAGTCGATACTTTTTTTAAACCCTTTTCGATCCGCTCGGTTACTGAGCCCTCTACCGACTTCCCCTACGAAATTCGCTTAGTAAACCTCTTTTTTACAACTCCTAGCATCAATTCTTTCAAATTTAACATTCAAGCGAAATTGACCCTTAGAAACGAACATGATATAATATATGTTATATAATACAAAACTTGTTTGGAAATAAAATCTTAGTAGGTACGACTTCACTATGCACTATGTCACAGAAAACCAGCGTAAAGCAACGAAAGCGTTGTGTTTCGCCTTCCCCATTCCCTCCCCAATACCAAAATCTCCAAATCCCTAATCCCCGAAAGGTCAGCAACGCATTCGTAACACCTTTGTCTTTGCCATTTTGTCCATGTGTGTTAATTGCTTACCATCAGGTAGCCCATCGCCGACATGTGACAAAAAAATTGTCCACGGAAGCAACCGAACTAATCGCTGTCTTTATAGCCGTAAGCGTAAAAATCTGTATAAAACTAATTATTATGTAAAATATTAAATTTCATGTTACTTACATGTTCAGAACGCGTACTGAATACAAAATAACCATGGAGTATAGGGGCAAGGAGAACCATCTCTTAAAACTACAAGACGTACACTGCTTCACTCGTCTCTCAATTAAGAATGGTTATTGCCGCGATGTTACGTCGCTGTATATGTGCGGAGTGCCCAGCTTGGATAGAGCAGCGCCGTGTCTGTGGTACTGCGGGAACAGCTGGGGTTGCAGGATAAGTTAGTTTAAGTGTGGGAGAGCCATGCTTCGGCACGAATGGGTCGGCTCGACCGGAGTGATACCACGGCCTCACAGAAAACCGGCGTGAAATAACCACTGCATTGTGTTTCGCCGTGTGAGTGAGGTTACCGGAGGCCCAATCCTTCCTCTTCCCCAATCCCTCCTCAATCCCTAAATCTCCAAATCCCTAATCCCTAAAAGGTCGGCAACGCACTCGTAACTCCTCCGTTGCGAGTGTCCATGGAAGGCGCTAATTGCTTACCATCAGGTAATCCGTCTGCTCGTTTGCCGAGATATTACATAAAAAAAAAAAAAATAAGTGCAATAAGGCACCGCGGCCTCGGCCTAGGGCAGGAGAAGGAACGGAGGGTTTTTATTCATTAAGAGTCTGACATTCCTTCCCGGCCCACCCTGCAATTACAGGTTGGAAAAGACATTTGTTGATTTTGCCCTCACAAAAAAATCTCTGCGGGAATCCTCTCGATTCCGGCTGTTGTATCTACTATGGTGGGACCGAGTCAGGGTGGAGTGCCTGCGCTAACTTTTGCGAGGCCGTGATGCTTGCGAAGGTGGTGGCAGAAAGGGAAAGAGAACTCATTTCCTGACTTGGGTCAAAAGAGAAAAAAAAACATGTTTTTTTTTCTATTAATTTGTTATATGTTAGCATTAGGTTAGTGAGTCGTCGTGGATGTCCGGAGGTTAAGGCATCCGCATCTCAGGCATGTGAGTGCGCGTTCGAAACCTGGTAAAGCAATATGACTTTTTCAAGTCATATGCACTTTCTTAGATGATTCAGACATCACTGACTTATAATTTCTAATTATAGGTTGGAAATCGCTAATCCGCCTTGAGCAAGCATGGCGATTAATGCTCAAACCTTCTCCGTGAGAGAAGAGGCCTTTACACAGCAGTAGGCACCTATAGGCTGATGATGGTGATGATGAAGTTCGTAAGAGCAGGAGTTGAAGGAGTCTCAGGGAAAGGATGTAGCTCGCTACAGTCTTGACCGTAATTCTGGGATACAGGGAGGTAGTCCCGAGGACTATCCGGAGGTGAGGAACAAAGGAGCTCTCTGGAGTCAGATCTGTGAGGTCGCTACAGCTCAGTTTAACTGTTATGATTAGACTTTAAGTGTGGGAGAGCCAAGCTTCGGCACGAATGGGTCGGCTCGACCGGAGTGATACCACGGCCTCACAGAATACCGGCGTGAAATAACCACAGCGTTGTGTTTCGCCGTGTGAGTGAGGTTACCGGAGGCCCAATCCTTCCCCTCCCCCCATCCCTCCTAAATCCCTAAATCTCCAAATCCCTAATCCCTAAAAGGTCGGCAACGCACTCGTAAGTCCTTTGGTGTTGCGGGTGTCCATGGGCGGCGCCGATTGCTTACCATCAGCTAATGCGTCGGCTCGTTTGCCGACATATCACATAAAAAAAGACTATCTTCGTGTTATTATTTTGATTTATTTTGTTTTTCTTTTTCTTTTTTGCTAACCTTTTATTGTATTTTTGTTTCTTCTTTGCGTTCATGTTGATGCCGATCATACCGTACTTCTCTGATATTGCTCTGATAGCCGTGGGATGTCTCTCCTTCCGGGAACATTCCTGGTGTTACCTATATAAGTGGTCTTTGGATGCTTACCATCGGGCAATCTGTCGCCATGTTCCATTAAAAAACCTTTATTAGCATGTAGGTCTTTAAACAATGGACTGGAGAGATACCACGGTCTAGCAGAAAACCGTCGTAAAACAACTGAAATGTGGTATTACAAGAAAGCCAAAATTATCCCTTAACGAAGAATTACCAACGAAGTAACAAGCTTACTTTTCCAGGGTTTTCTTTTGTGAGATAAAAATCATCATCATTAGACTCTTTCTGACTAAATCCCCCCCCTAACTAAATTCCTTTTCCTGTTTTGGGCCGAGGTCACGGTGAGTTACTGCGCTTACCCTGCAACCCCAGCTGAACATCAGCCCTATAGGGCCCCGTCTGACTTTTCCAAGATTACGGGTACTTAATACCAGATAATATATTTTTGATAATAACTCCCTTATCTCATTAATAATAGTGTGGGAGAGCTATGCTTCGGCACGAATGAGTGGGCTCTATCTGAGTGATACCACATCCTCACAGAAAACCGTGGTTAACAACCACAGCGTTGTATCAAATCTTTCCTCTCCTCCTACCCCACATCATCAGCCTATAAGTGCCCACTGCTGAGCAAAGGCCTCTTCTCACACGGAGAAGGTTAGAGCATTAATCACCACGCTTGCTCAATGCGGGTTGGTGATTTCAAACTTATAATTAGAAATTATAAGTCCAGGTTTCCTCACGATGTTTACCTTCACCGTATGTCAGTGGTGTCTAAATAATCATAGAAAGTACATATAACTCGGAAAAAGTCACATTGGTACTGGCCAGGTTTCGAACCCGCACCCTCATGCATGAGAAGCGGGCGCCTTAACCTCCGGGCCACCACGACACGATAAACTCTAAATCTCCCAAACCCTAATCCCCAAAACGTCGGCAACGCACTCATAACTCCTTCGTTGTGTGGGTGTCGAAGGGCGGCTCCGATTGTCATTCGGGCCGAAGCTTGGCTCTCCCACATCATAATAACATTGTAAAAATAATTCACACTGAACTCTCTGTCCACCACACATTCAATACTGCACGCCGACAAAAATATTTTTTAGCAATGACGTAATCTGAAACTAATTAACTTATTGTTAATTAATATATTTAGGTTACAAACACATCTTTATAAACATCAAAACAGAACATCGTCGTTGTTTTTCTGTAAGTGATATGATGGCAAACGAGTTGACGGATTACCTGATGGTAAGCAATCGGCGCCGCCCATGGACACCGGCTACATTAGAGGTGCGTCACGAGTGCGTTGGTGGCCTTTTGAGGTTTAGTGATTCTCAGATTTAGAGATTGGGGGAGGGAAAGAAGGATCTGGTCTTCTGTAATCACACTCACACGGCGAAACACAACGCTGTGGTTGTTTCAAGCCAGTTTTTGGAGAGCTCGTGGTATCATTTCGGTCGAGCCGATCCATAGGCAGAAGTCCACATTTAAATTACACCTAGTTTTAGCCAGCTATGGTATTTTTTAATGGGATATGTCGACAAACGAGCTGGTGAATCACCTGATGGCCTGATGGTAAGCAATCATTGGCACTTGCAAAACTAAGGAGTTACAAATGCGTTGCCGTATCTGTGTGGGATGTTTTTTTGTTTATTTTTTTATATAAAACGTTGCCCCACATTAGGATTTTCTCCTGTGTCGTGAGTGCGGTTACAAACATACAATTTCACATACACATCACACCCAGACCCGGAACAACAATTTGTGGATCACACAAAGAGTTGTTCCGTTCGGGACACGTTGCACGGCAGCCAGTTGCCCAGCCACCGCACCAAGCGTGCAGTCTTGTTAGGGACTTTAGAAGAATGTAACAATATGGGTGGTTTTTAAGTTGGAAAAAGTATCTTGTCTTGTTACTTTAAGGTTTTCTAAATTCAGAAGAACTACAATAGTGTAATGTGGCCTTGGCCCGCAGCAGGTGTTCTTTAGTCATTAAGTGTCCAGCACTCTCTCTTGCCCCACCCAGGGTAGGAAAAATCGTTTCTCTCCTGAAAAAAGGGGGCCTGTGCCAAATAATTTTTTATAGTTTTGGAGAAAATCATTCTTTAACCCCCGACGAGAAAAGGGGGGTGTTAAAACGTTGACGTGTCTGTCTGTCTGTCTGTGGCATCCTGGAGCCTGAACTTGACGTGGCTTACGTGCGAGTGTTCTTAGACATGTTTGACGAAAATCGGTTGAAATAAATTAAACCCTCACCAAAATAGTAATATGTAGTAGATAATAAAATATTTGAATCGGTCCCCTAACGCCACGTTTTTTTTTTAATGATTACTTTTTAAAGGAATATTAGATTTTTTGTCGGGGATTTGTAAATTTTAATTTTTTTATGTAATAAATTGGTGGCCTCGGACGTCTCTTAATTTATTTTGAATTGTTTGTAGGATAGGATGGAAAATGAGAAAACGGATTACCTGATGGTAAGAAATCGGCGCCATTCAAGGTCACTGGCAATAAATACCAGAAGAGTTACAAATGCAAGGAGGAGGGATTGAGCCTCCGATTCCGTAACCTCGATCATACTACACAGCGCTAATATTGTTTCACGCCGCTTTCCTGTGAGGATAGCATTCCAGTCGAGCCAACCCATTCGCAAGTGCTTAACTTAAGTCACAATAAAATAATTTTACACAAAAAAAACCGACTTCAAAAAGTAAACTAAAAAGCAAAAAATAAATTTACTTTTTTCAAAGTTATACATATTTTGATTTAGTTAAATAGAAAATAATATTTGATAACTAGTTTAATCTTTAAAAAGGATTATCAAAATCAAAATCGATTCATAAATAACGGAGATATCGGCGAAAAAACATAAAAAAAGCATACCTATATACGATCGAATTGAGAACCATCCTCCTTTTTGGAAATCGGTAAAAAAAATGTTTTACATGCGATTAAGACTATTATTAGGATCAGCAAACTGAAAAGGCAGTGGACAGGTCACATTTGTCAACGAACTGCTGACTGTTGCATATAAGAGTTCCGAAGTGGAGACCACTCTCACTGCCACGTCTAGGCAAACGTAGTGTAGAACGCCCTTCAGGTATGTGGACTGAGGATATCAGTGGTGTGGCTGGCAGTAGTAGTTGGATGAGAAGACCTGAACATCGAGCTCAATTGGCGTGCAATTGGGGAAGCCTATTTCCAGTAGTAGACGAAATTAAGCTGATGATGATGATGATGAGGACAATATTGTTAGGTACATGAGCGAAGTCATAGAATTCTGTTGTCAATTTATTTTATTTAAAAACATATTTATTATTTACACATCTTGTGTTAAAATGTTATAACTACCTACAGACTTTTGTAACCAAAAATAAAAATCCAAATTAGTCATAGAATAACATATTTATTTTATTGGTAATTCTCTCCGTATAACTGTGCACCTATAAAGGCTCGAGGTAGTCTCGCATATAAAGCTGGAGTTTGGGGTGCTCCACAAGATCGGCCATATGACGTCACACCGACAACGCGCCATATACATCCTGATTGAAGCTGCACTGGTCCACCAGAGTCACCCTGTAAACATAACATAACATTAAAGGCTGATTTTCCAATAGTCAGATAAATGTTATCTGAGGAATAAAATTGTTGCTGTCACTGTCTTATACTAACATTGTGACGCGACAGCATCATAATTATTCCCTAGGTAACTTTTATGTAACCATTGAAAAATCAGCCTTAGATAACATGGAGTGACATGACATTGACACATGACATTTTGTGACATAAGTTGACGTTACACGACATGACAGTGACAATTCAATGTGACGTTTGGTAGAAATTAAGAAATTCTATTTATCTTTCTGTATCACTACATAGTATAAAACAAAGTCGCTTTCTCTGTCCCTATATCCCTATGTGCGCTTAAATCTATAAAACTACGCAACGGATTTTGATCCAGTTTTTTTTATAGATAGAGTGGTTGAAGAGGAAATTTGATACGTATAAGTAACATCCAGTAAATTGCAACCTCTCGAAACAACTACAACTCCTGTGCACCAGAATCTACAGTAGATACAACCATAAAAATACCGAAACACTGAAGTCCGGCGCGTCCCAGGGACATGAATGACTGTCTTGGATCCCGCAACGAAATAAATCTGTACTAATATTATGAAGAGGTAAAATTTGTAAGTTTGTATATAGGGGGTAATCTTTGGAACCGCTGGTCGGATTGCCAAAATTCTTTCACCGATAGATAGCTACAATGTTCCTGAGTGCTATAGGCTACAAAGCATCACGCTACGATCAAATGGAGCTGAGCAGCGGGTGATACCGCACAAGAGTAGCTAGTACTTAACACATGATATGCAAAACAGTATACTTATTACCTGACATGTATCCATGCCGCCAGATTTCTCCCCAGCACATAGATGACTGTCCGAAGTCACCCCGTTGGGTAACTTGAGCGAAGTACCCCACACATCGCGACACTCCTCCATGTTCCACACGGGGAGGGACACGGAACGGAGGACGAAGGAGTGGTCTCCTCCTGTGAACATGAAATATGTGTAAAGGGTAATTATTAATATTGTACTTGCGTTATCTTATCGATTTTTTGTGAGCGAAAAGTTTTCTTAATTAATTTCTTCTCCAGGCCATAGTGTCAAAATCTTACTGACTAAAAACCCGCCTGTTCTTTCTCCTGCTCTGGGCCGAGGCCGTGGTGCCTCATTGCGCTTGCCTCGCAACTTCAGCTGAGTTTTTTTATAGGATAGGGCGGCTAACAAGCAAATGTATGCAAAGCAACAAAGCAAGTGTGGGAGAGCCATGCTTCGGCACGAATGGGTCGGCTCGACCGGAGTGATACCACGGTCTCACAGAAAACCGGCGTGAAATAACCACAGCGTTGTGTTTCGCCGTGTGAGTGAGGTTACCGGAGGCCCAATTCTTCCCCTCCCCCAATCCCTCCTAAATCCCTAAATCTCCAAATCCCTAATCCCTAAAAGGTCGGCAACGCACTCGTAACTCCTCCGTTGCGAGTGTCCATGGGCGGCGCTGATTGCTTACAATCAGGTAATCCGTCAGCTCGTTTGCCGACCTATTAGTAAAAAAAAAAACGGTAAACAATCGGGGTGGCCCATGGACACTTCTTGTAAATCGGAGGAATTGCAAGTGCTTTGGTGGTAGTTTAGGGGTTTTTTTATCGGGTAGGGACATACTGGGCCTTCGGTAACGTCAATCACACTGCGAAACAAAACGCTGTGGTTGTTTCACGAAGGTTTTCTCCGGTCGATCCGGCCCATTCGTGCCGAAGTGTAGCTCTCCTACACTTAAAGTAAGGCTACATAAGATTTTTTTCTAAGTACTAAAATTTTTAAAAGTTACAAAACGCAATTTGTTTAATCAAGGAACATGAGACCTCTTCAAAAATGATCTCTTAGAAATCTCTCAAAAAGGACTTCGGATTATGATAAAGTCAATAATAATTTCTGTAATACTTGGAAATAATTCTTTCACTCACCAAATTCTGTCCTGCCCCAACCAGTAGCAATGATACTCTTTCCCTCCGGAGGAGGTTCTCCTAAACACGCAGGACGTATGACTTCGGAGAATCTGAAACAGAATAACACAATAACGTGAATTACTTTCAAAGTCAAAGTCAAAGTCAAAATCATTTATTCCAACTAAACCATAAATAGGTACTTTTGAAACGTCAAAATAGAAAAGTAATCTGTCAGTCTGTTCGTCAGTGAAGCTAGGTGCTCATTCCAAATTGTAGATTCGAATGGAGAAGAACGAGCAAAAACTCCATTCGTTACTCTTCATTTCACTAATGTATTTCTTAACACATTCAGTGCCCTCGACGCACCTGTGCGTTCAATACATTAATGTATAGAACGCACATACGCGTCGGGGGCACTGAATGTGTTAACTGCTCACCAAGTTACACAGTTTTTAGTCAGAGTGTTTTCATCTAGGCTGCTCAGGATGATAGAAACCGGTTGGTTAATTCTCCCCTTAAGAAAACATGTAAGCTCAGGTTGGGTCCTGGTCCAGCGGTGAGATAACTCGGCTCAGATTCTGACAAACGCTCACCGTCGCCAGAGATCTTCTCTCGAACCCCTATAAAAAGTATCTCCTGCAGTGGCTAGAGCCTGAGCAGGATCGTTGCCTCAAGCGCTCCAACTGCTCCTTAGCGAGGATGATTACTTCGCAGAAAGAGGCGATGGCTCCTCAGTTCATAGGACCATAACTTTGAAATGTCATATAGACTGTTGATGTGAAAAAATAGTGTGACGGTAAAGAGGTTCAAACTCTTTGACATCATGACGTCTATGGATGGTTGTCAAACGTTGCCTAGAGATTGTAAATTTCGTCGTGAATTGTCAACACAAATTGGTGTAATCGGTAAGGCGTGAGGATTACACCAGAGAGACCCCGACTTCGAGTCCCGCCGTAAGCATGAAGTTGTTTTGAACTTTCTGGAAGCTTTTGTGTGAAAGAAATGAAAAATTAAAGAGCGAGAAGGAGAATAAAAAGAAATGAATAACGAAATTATTGGAAGGTTCTGGAGTCATGACGATCAAAAAGAATAACGAAATTGAATGTTCCAGAACCTAACCGGGGGTATATAAGCGGAACTGCGGCTCACCGCTGGCAGTTGAGTTCTAAGTCCAAAGCGATTCGGAAGAAAAGAAAGAAGTGAAAAAGAAGAAAAAGAGTTAAGTCAGCGTGAACAGTGAGCGGCAAACGGAAGTTTGTGTCAGTCGCCCGGACTATGCTGGAGAGGAACGCCGGAAACTTAACTCCGTGGACGCTGTCACTTAAGTGCAATACAAAGTCTGAAAACCAGTATTAGTGTTTAATTTCATCCAATCCCGTAACCCAAGCCCGCATAGTCAGGAACGTGGCGTCAGGCACGTAACAATAGTGATAAATAACTTACTTGACTTTATTAGCCAGTTTGATCAACGCGATGTCATGGTATGCTCTTCTCTGCTTATACTTGGGATGTCTGATGACGGCTGCGACCTTGACAACCAGCGCTCCAGGGTCATCCAGGTAGGAGGAGCCTAGTTGCACTGCTTGGGGAGGTCCGCTAGAAATTGAAGTTCAAGATGAATAAGATATGTAGCGACATCTATCGCACACAAGCAGTAATGTGACGACTTACATAATTTACAAAAATATTCAACAGATGGCGTAACAGATTCTACATCGCGGTATAAGAGTTCTCAACGCAATTAGACCCGATACAAAAGTCCCGACAACAACCGTCGGGCAGTAGCCCACCAGACATAATATCCGAGGTTGGAAGATCCTTCCTTTTCAATGGAGGATGAGGAACTTTCCACCCTGTTCTCTCATACCTCTAAAGATACAATCATGGTTTTGGGCTGACGGCAGAGTTTACATTTCTCACCAACTTTCTTCCTGCAGGTTTTTTTTATGTCATAGGTGAGCAAATTACCTGATGGTAAGCAATCGGCGCAGCCCATCGACACTTATAAAACCAAAGGGGTAATACTACAAGTTCATTTCTGGCCTCTTTTGGATTAGAGATTTAAGGATAGAGCATGCGAGGATTCACAATGTAAGTGTAGGTTCACGTCGGTTTTCTGTGAGGCCGTGATATCACTCCGGCCGAGCCAACCCATGCATGCCGAAACACGGCTCTTTTTTTTTTACTTGCTTGACTGCGATCCCACCTGATGTTAAGCAGTGATGCAATCGCTGATGGTAAGGCGCACTAGTTTATTAAGAGCCTATTCACTTTAGCCTTGAAGACACCTAAATTGTATTCGGACGGAAAGACTGCAGCCGGCAAACTGTTCCAATCCCTCGATGTACGCGGTATAAATGACGAGGCAAAACGCTTAGTCGGGACCGCAGGTGTCTCAACAACGTAAGGGTGGATATTCGCCGTACGCCGGGATGTCCGAAGGTGAAAGGCTCACCATAAGGCCCTCTCACACTTAGGTATCGTTAGAAACTACTAAAGGACTAAACATTTGCGTGTTGCAGTTGCAGATGATTGTACTGCGGCCTCGGCCTAGAGCAGGAGCAGGTACAGGAGGGTTTTTAGTCAGTAAGACACTGTTCTGTCTGACACTCCCTCTCCAGCCATTTGATGATTTTTCCCTTACATAATAAAAAGTATGAAAACTAATACCCAACTACGACAAAGAATGACGCTGAAAAAGTATAAAACAAGATTTTCAGAATACTGAAAGGCGTGTAGTCACACGTTACATTTACTTACCGTACCTGCACTTTGATAACGTGTGACTACGCCTTCCAGTCTTCCGAAAATATTGCTTTATACTTTTTCACCGTCATTAGTTAGAGTCAGTCACAGTGTTAAAGTGTATTTATATGATAAGTGTGGGAGAGCCATGCTTCGGCACATATGGGTCGGCTCGACCGGAGTGATACCACGGCCTCACAGAAAACCGGCGTGAAACAACCACAGTGTTGTGTTTCGCCGTGTGAGTGAGGTTACCGGAGACCTAATACTTCCCCTTCCTAATCCCTCCCCAGTTCCTAAATCTCCAAATCCCTAATCCCTAAAAGGTCAGCAACTCACTCGTAACTCCTCCGTTGCGGGTGTCCATGGGCGGCGCTGATTGCTTACCATCAGGTAATCCGTCTGCTCGTTTGCCGACCTACTACATAAAAAAAAATTAAGTATATTTGATATCAACAAAAGTTAAATTAGTGAACTAATGATAAATAGTAGAAGCTAAGAATGAAAAGAGGTGAATTATATGCAACTAGCCCATGAATACAGGTAAATTCACAAGTAGTATGCTAGTAATATATATATATATATATATATTCAAAATGTAAGCGCTTTCAAATGATACCAAACATGGCATATTTATTTTAACTTATTTTTTTACTCTAATTGTTTTGTCCGCTAGAGGACGCCACATTAAAGTCAAAAGTCAAAGTCAAAAATCATTTATTCCAATTAGAACTTTACAGGCACTTTGGAACGTCAAACAAAATTTTGAAGATTCGTCGTTTCGAAGTCGGTCTGTCGGTCAGTCCTCTTAGTGAGGCTATTTGCTCGTTCCAAAGTGTAGATTCCTATGGAGAAGAACGAGCAAGAAACTCCATGGTTACTCTTTTTAAATCAGTTTCACATACAGATTCCTTTTACAAACAGTTGGTTCAATTATGTGAGAACAGTGTAACACTAATAGATTTTGTGATGTTTCTAATGACATGTCATTTGTCGAATTCTGACAAGTAGTTTAGAAGTTACGAGGGAACAGATGATAGAACATACATACATACATAGCCTGTCAAAATCATAACCCTCCTTTTGCTTTGCCGTAGTCGGGTAAAAAAAGGAAAAATAATAAGTACATTTATAGGTCTATTACCAAAAAAAAATTTAAGACAATGTTTGAACTTTACCTGACTACATCATAGTCTTTATCCTGATAGGTGCAGTGTCCTGCTGTTAGGACATATTGGTCGCTGATGAGGGAACCCCCACATTTCCAGGAGTAGCCGGTATTCTGTGGGCAGATTGTAACATAACATGTAACATTATTTATATTACCATCATCATCATCATCAGCCTATAAGTGCCCACTGCTGAGCAAAGGCCTCTTCTCATACGAAGAAAGTTTGAGCGTTAACCACCACGCTTGCTCAAGTCAGATTGGCGGTATCAAACTTATAATTATAAGATATAAGTTCAGGTTTCCTCACGATGTTTTCCTTCACCGTATGTCAGTGGTGTCTAAATAGTCTTAGAAAGTACATATAACTTGGAAAAAGTCACATTGGTACTTGCCAGGTTTCGAACCCGCACCCTCATCCTAACTAATAATAATAATGCAAAAGTAACTCTGTCTGTCTGTCTAGGTCTATCTTTCTTTTTTTCACGCCTAAACAATTAACCGATTTCTGTAAAATTTGGTTCAGACATAGTTTGGAACTCGAGAAAGGACATAGGATAGTTTTTATACCAAAAATCTGCAGGGAGTCACTATTCCACGCGAACAAAGTCGCGGGCAAAATCTAGTTGTTATACAAAATATGGAATTGGGATTAATTAATAGTTAAAAGTAATGGGATTGGACATCCGAACCTCATTCACATGAGAAAAATCGCAAATGAAGAAGAAACTTCTTACCTTAAGCTTTAACCAGCCAATCAAAGCCATGTGAGGGAAATCCCTGATGCTGACCACCTTACCCCCAATAATTAGGGGTACATTAATAGGGGTACAATCGGACACGTTCACTTCAACTGGATCCGGGGAAGGAATAAGGGGTAACGCTACTATCTTCTTTACAGTTAGCGCCTTGTAGCGCTCACACACTGAAAACAAAAGAAGCGAAAATATTATATTACTGACAAATTTCGGCACGAATGGGTCGGCTCGACCGGAGTGACACCACGGCCTCACGGAAAACCGGTGTGAAATAACCACCGCGTTGTATTTCGCCGCGTGACTGAGGTTACTGGAGGCCCAATCCTCTCCCCGAATCCCTAAATCTCTTAATCCTTAATCTCTAAAAGGTCGCACTTGTTACTCCTCTGTTGTTGCGGGTGTCCCTGGGCGGCGCTGATTGCTTACCATCAGCTAATCCGTGTGCCCGTTTGCAAAGCGGATTGGCGATTTCAAACTTTCTAAATTCAATTCCAGGTTTCCTCACGATATTTACCTTCACCGTATGTCAGTGGTGTCTAAATAATCATAGAAAGTATAAATCACTCGGAAAAAGTCAGATTGATACTTGCCAGGTTTCGAACCCGTCCCTTCATATTGGGCTCCCACGACATGGCGACATCTCCCCATCCTCAATCGTCAGATCCCTAATAACCTACAAGTAGCCGGCAACGCACTTGTAGCAACTCCTTTGGTATTGCGAGTGTCCATGGGCGGCGCTGATTGCTTACCATCAGGTAATCCGTCTGCTCGTTTGCCTAAGTAAGACCTTGCTTTAGTAAAATTTAACTTACTTCGTTCAGTCATATCTTCGAATCTCCTTTTTTCTCTTACACTCATATCATCTTCATCAGGTCCAATCAATATTTCAGGTTCAGAATTCTGTTCATAAGAACTTTCCGTAGGCTTATTAAATCCATCATTATTATTATTATTAAAAACTGGCCGATTAGTGATCGGAGGAAGGTTGTCGTTAACTGGCGCTGGTTGTACACCCGGCCTGTTAATCAACGGATTATCCGAAGAATAAAAACCCGTATTAGGATTATAATTTTCACCTCTATTCCCACCTCGGTTGTTATAATCCGGGATTTCGAATGTAGTTGGTACTCGATTATCAGGTTTATAATTATTATTATTGTAATTAGGATTTCTGTCAGTATTTATAAATCCATTATGATCCGTATTTCTATTATTATTGGTTCTTCTATTAGGATTATTACTACCCCTATTGTTATTCGGGTAAGATTCTGGATTTCGATTACTCGCTTGGGAATAATCAGTATTGTAATCAGTGTTTAGTATACCCCTATTTTTATTACGATTAGCATTCTGATTTACACGGTTACCGGAGTTCGGGTAATTCGTTTCAACATTGTGGCTTTCGTAAATTAAATTTGCTGGTTTTGGATCGAAAATATTTTCTGTGACAGGTCTAATATAATCATTACTGAATACATTATCAGTCGTCCGAAAATCGTTGTTATAAAAGATGTTATTATAATTCTGTGTTGTCGTAGGCTTACCCCAAAGTTTTGGGGCTTTCGTTGTAGCATAAGGATATAAATCACCAATTAAAATATTGCTATTTTGATTCTTATTAGATAAGTTACGAGAATTTAAATTTGACTGACTAGAGTTTCGTCTTATGACGATTGGGCTTTCGGTTGTGGCGAAAGTGTATTCGTATTGGAACGACGGTGCTTCTGTTTGTGGGTTGTTTTGTTTTCTGTTTATCTGTCTGTATGTGTTTGGTGGTCTTGTTGGTACATTGTATTGGTTGATAAAGTCTTGTGGTTGGTACGGCTGGAATAACTGCTGTAGACCTTGCAGGACATCTGAAACAGGAGAATAAAGAGCTATTATTGATAAAGTCAAAGTCAAAATCATTTATTCCAACTAAACCATAAATAGGTACTTTTGAAATGTCAAAATTTTAGAATAGTAGTCTTTCAGTCTGTTCGTCAGTGAAGCTAGGTGCTCATTCCAAATTGTAGATTCGAATGGAGAAGAACGAAAAAGAAAGTCCATCATTAATCTTTAAAAAAATAATATTGTACCCTTATGTAAGAACAATGCAAAGACAAGTTGTAAAAAAAGAACAAACGATGGGATCTATCATTAAATTTTAATCCTTTATCGTCTCGAACATGGCACCATGAAGTAATGAATCAATGTCTTTTAATTGGCAATAAAACAGCAACTTTACACGTCAACATCAAACAAAAAAAACTACACGAAGCTGGCTCTCCGTATTTGATTAAGTACTCTCAGAAGAAACGTCGAAACAAACTTTTAAAGTAAGGACAAATTAATGTAATCAATGCCGTGAAAGAACCGCTTTTCCTGAAAAATATAGGTGAAATATCATCAACAGGGATATCTCCTGGGTTAAAACAACTAGATTCTAATTAGTCCGTCAGTTAGATTATAGAAAAATACTCGATATGTATTTTTATTGGTCCATACGAATAATATTGACAAAGATACAGCACATTCAAATTCAGGAGTAGGGGCTCGGGACGTCACTCGTTCGTAAAAATTTTACGAAATAATGACGTAGCGCGGACTCTCGCCGCTCTGTCACTTTGTTATTTTAAGTTTTAGAAGCAAAAGAAAAAATACGTATCTACTATTTTCTGGCGTTCTAAAAGATGGACTCATTATTATTTTTAGTCATCATCCCTATTGATATCTCCCACCATTTAAGAGGGAGTGTCAGACTCTTAAATTGGGTGTCCGGTAACCTTAATAAGACGACGAAACACTACAAAAGCTTTGTTTCACGCCGGAACCTATCTTTGAGGCCGTGGCGTAAATCCGATATCGAGAAGACCCATTTGCCGAAGTATGGCTCATCTACACTTTAAAGTCGGTTAATACCAAATCTAATAGAAGGTTCCAATATCTTTAACATCACATTGTCATCAGCCCATAAGTGCCTACTACTGAGCAAAGGCCTCTTCTCACACTGATAAGGTTTGAGTATTAGCCACTACGCTTGCGGCTCAAGGCGGAATCGCGATTTCAAACTTATAATTAGAAATTATAAGTCCAGGTTTCCTCACGATGTTTTCCTTCACCGTATTTCAGTGGTGTCTAAATAATCATAAAAAGTACTTATAACTTGGAAAAAGTCACATTGGTCCTTGCCAGGTTTCGAAACGTCACGCATGAGAAGCGGGCGCCTTCACCAAAATTAAATGGCTTAAATATTATATGTATTGTTGTACATCGAAACTAATATTATAAATGCGAAAGTAACTCTGTCTGTCTGTCTGTCTTTTCTTTACGCCTAAACTACTGAACCTATTTGTGTGTGGTACAGACATAGTTTGGAACTCGAGAAAGGACATAGGATAGTTTTTTAACCAAAAATCTGCAGGAAGTCACTATTCTACGCGAACGAAGTCGCGGGAAAATGCTGGTACGTAATATTATATTTTTATTGCAAAACGGGTTATTTTGACGTTCATTTGTTATGTCTGAGTCATTAAATAGATATACTTTTTTTTATTTTGTTTTTGTAAAAATTTATTGGTGTGCGCCATATTATTATCCTGTTTGTTTTAAGTAGATTTTTAAGTGATTAGTATATAATACCTATATCTTCTTATATAATAATGAGTATATATTTTTATATAGCTCTCCAACCATGTTTCGGCACAAATGGGTCGGCTCGACCGGAGTTATACTACGTCCTCACAGAAGACCGACGTGAAACAACCACAGCGTTGTGCTTCGCCAAGTGAGTGAGGTTACTGCAGGCCCAATCCTTCCTCTCCCCAAACCCAAAATCTCCAATTCCCTAATCCCTAAAAGGTTGGCGATGCACTCAAAACTCCTTTGTTGTTGCGGGTGTCCATGGGCGGCACTTAGGTATATTTGAATATAAGTTTGAATATAAGTCTGTGCCGTCTACTCTATTTTATAATGGGCAAGTATTTGGAAAGCGATTATTCGACGTACGATGGAGCACGCCTACCAATAAGCAAACTATTCACTCGGGCTTTGAAGGCACCCAGGTTATTCCTTTCGGAGAACACAGGCTCAGACAGAATAGTAATCAGTACTGCTCATTCTCTCTTCCACACCATCAAAGGATACCACCTAGAGGATACGGTGGAGCATACAGTAGCGGTATGCCCTGCCTGGGCTGAGCACCGCCGTATCCTCAGGGAAGTGATCGGCGGCGGCGACCTCTCGCGCCCGGCCTTAGTCGAGGCCATGGTGCGGAGTGAGAGGAACTGGGACGCCGTCTCCTCATTTTGTGAAGCAGTCATGCTCGCAAAGAGAGAGGCGGCCCGCGTGAGGGAGCAATCTTCCTCCTCACGCCCCAGCCGCCGCAACTGGGGACGGGCGTCGGGGATCGAGGGACGATCTCCAGCCACCGTAAGCACGGGTCTGCGGTCGGCGAGTAAGGGCAGCTCGCCGCCCGACCAGAACCAGGCCCGAGCGTACGGCGCGTAGCGTTCCGCGCGCGCCTCAAAGTGCGAATAGACCACCACAGACGGGGCCTTATAGGGCTAATGTTCAGCCGGGGTTGCGGGGTAAGCGCGATGAGGCACCGCGACCTCGGCCCAGAGCAGGAGAAGGAACAGGGGGGTTTTTAGTCAGTAAGAGTCTGACACTCCCTCCCGCCCGGCCCTGGGCGGGACAAGTCATTTGACGATTTTCCCCTCACAAAAAAAAACCATCAGAGGATTAAAGATTTAGGTACAATGGAGACGACTGCGGCAACCTTACTCACACGACGAAACAAAAGGCGAGCGTTATTTCACGCCGGGTTACTCTGACGCCTACGTCTTTGTATTAACCTCTGATCTATATGCAAGCGTGATACACGATATTTTATTATATATTATTTGTGACTTATACGCGTGTCTGCCCCTTAGACTTGTTTTTATTTCATTACATAACAAGTTTTTGAATAAAAAAAGCCAATATCATATTTGAAAGGTTACTTATTTATAACTAATTATAATCATGATATAATATATTATGTTTTTATTAATAAACTACCTATTCTCGGCTCCATTTGATTGTAGAGTGATGTTTTATAGCCTACAGCACTCAGGAACATTGTAGCTATCTATCAGTGAAAGAATTTTGGCAATCCGACCAGCGGTTCCAAAGATTACCCCCTACATACAAACTTAAAATTATAATCATGATTTATGTCTACACTGATATTATAAAGAGGTAAAATTTGTAAGTTTGTATTTAGGGGGCAATTTTTGGAATCGCTGGTCGGATTGCTAAAATTCTTTCACTGATAGATAGCTACAATGTTCCTGAGTGCTATAGGCTATAAAACATCACGCTACGATCAAATGGAGCCGAGCAGCGGGTGAAACCGCGAGAGAGTAGCTAGTATGTTATGTTTTTATTATTAAACTAGCTATTCCTGTGCGGTTTTACCCGCTGCTACATACAAACTTACAAACATACAAACTTACAAACTTTACCTCTTTATAATATTAGTATAGATGTAATATACCTACTAGCTTTTACCCGCAGTTTCGCTCCCGTTAAGATACTACACTTCCCTATCAAGTTACCTACCCTTCACTACCTACCCTATCATATGCACTTCTCCTGGCTCTAAACTACATCCCTACCAATTCTCAACGAAATCGGTTCAGGCGTTCTTGAGTTATAAATAGTGTAACACAAATTTCTTTTATATAAATATATATAGAGAGATTTTATTAACGTTGCCTAGCACTAGGATATTCACCTGTCTCATAGGTTCATTTACAAACATACAATTTCACATACACATCACACCCAGACCCGGAACAACAATTTGTGGAACACAAAAAGAGTTGTTGCGTGCGGGAATCGAACCCTTGACACGTTGCGCGGCAACCACTTGCCTATCCACCGCGTCATCGCCCAATGCTAAACTAAAGATTTATATGCCGAACGTGTTATCAAGTCGAGTATGTGATACCCACGCGAAGAACGGCGGTGGTGTTTTGTGAAATACTAAATAATGATTATATTTACCATAGTACTGCCCCGTGGCGACGTTTATCACGGTGAGTGCAAGTAGAGTGGAGAATGCGCACCGTCTGCCCATTTTCGCATTATTTACTGAAAAAAAAAACATATAGGTAAGTTTTTAACATGCATATTATTAATTATAAAAAAATAGGCCAACTGTAAAATAGTAGCCAAAACTCTAATATGAATCAGGCGACGCGCAGGGGCAGCACCCGTCTCCTGTGGGAAATGGACCAGGGTTGTTGCACCAGCCCGGGCGGGTGCAACGTAACAAGCTAGCTCGGGAAATCAGATTGAGGTATGCCAGTTGGAATGTCGGAACTATGACTGGAAGGGCCAGAGAGTTAGCGGACGTATTGAAAAGAAGATGAATAAACGTAGCGTGCTTACAAGAGACTACAAATAAATAATTAAATTAAAAAATTAAAAAAAACCCCGACTTTATAAAAACCAAATGTAATCCATAAAGCGCCATTGTGTAGAGGCAGCCATCTTGGATTTTAAACTTTTCATAGCTAATAGTAGGTATTTCACTAGTCATGCCCTTTCATTTGATACCCATATTGATCAAGTTGTAATAAAAAAATGTAAAGCACCATTTTGTAGAAGCAGCCATCTTGTATTTTAAATTTGTCATATCTAATAGTATTCTACTAGTCAAGCCCTTTTATTTGATACCCATATTGATCGAGTTTAAAAAAAATATCTAATCTGTCATTTTGTGGCGGCGGCCATCTTGGAACAATTTTCATCAAACTTACGTAAAAAAAAAAAAAACTTATAACACCCCGTCGTTTTTGCGTCGGGGGTTAAAAAAGCCATGAGTATAAATGTGGATGGATGGAGAGGGAGAGGGAGACCAAAGAAGATATGGTTGGATTGTGTGAGAAGTGATATGGAAGACAGAGGAGTTAGTGATAGCGTGACGAGTGACAGGACAGAATGGAAGCAAAAAACATATTGCGCCGACCCCAAATAAAACGGGACAAGGGCATTATTAATTAATAGTAAGATAAAGATAAACATATATTTATTTGCGTAAACATATGTAACATTATAAATTCTTGCAAATGCATATGCTATAACATTATAAATCGCTTCATCATCAGCCTATAAGTGCCCACTGCTGAGCAAAGGCCTTTTCTCATACGGAGAAGGTTTGAGCCTTAATCACCACGCTTGCTCAATGCGGTTTGGCGATTTCAAACTTATAATTAGAAATTATAAGTCCATGTTTCCTCGCGATGTTTACCTTCACCATATGTCAGTGGTGTCTAAATAATCATAGAAAGTACATATAACTTGGAAAAAGTCACATTGGTACTTGCCAGGTTTCGAGCCCACACCCTCATGCATGAGAAGCGGGCTCCTTAACCTTCCATCAGGTAATCTATTAGTTCGTTTGCCGACCTATCACAAAAAACCCATGTTACCTAAGCACAAATTTAACATTAGATAAAAAAATAATAAATACTGTCTGTCTGTAGTTCGCATCTGATACCGTAATATGACCTACTTGATTGATGTAGTGTCGGACCTCAATAAATGTTGTATGACTCAGAAATGCATATCTAGGTCAATTTTTTATGTGATAGATCGGCAAACGAGCAGACGGATTACCTGATGGTAAGCAATCAGCGCCGCCCATGGACACCCGCAACAACAAAAAAGCTTCTCTTTTTTGTTAGGGGAACATCATCCAATGATTTCTCCCGCCCAGGGCCGGGCGGGAGGGAGTGTCAGGCTCTTACTGACTAAAAACCCCCCTGTTCCTTCTCCCGCTCTGGGCCGAGGTCGCGGTGCCTCATTGCGCTTACCCCGCAACCCCGGCTGAACATCAGCCCTATAGGGCCCCGTCTGTGGTGGTCTATTGGCTCTTTGAGGCGCGCGCGGAACGCTACGCGCCGTACTCTCGGGCCTGGTTCTGGTCGGGCGGTGAGCTGCCCTTACTCGCCGACCGCAGACCCGAACAACAAAGGAGCTACGAGTGCGTTGCCGACCTTTTGGGGATATGGGATTTGGAGATTTATTTAGGGGAGGAGAAAGATTGGGACTCCAGGAACCTCATTCACACGGCGAAATAGCTTAACTAAGAGGACTGACCGACAGACTGACACTACATCTTCAAAATTTTGTTTGACGTTCAATAGTGCCTGTAAGGGTCTACATAATTGGAATAAATGACAAAATACCCGACAAAATAGTAATATATTGTTGATAGAAAAATGTTTGGATCGGTCCCCCAACGCCACGTTTTCTTTTATTTAATGATTACTTTTTAAAAGAATACTAGATTTCTTGTCGGGGGTTTTTTAAATTTTAAATTTATAATTATTAAACACAACGCTGTGGCTATTTCATGACGGTTTTCTGTGAGGCCGTGGTATCATTCCGGTCGAGCCGACCCATTCGTGCCGAAGCTTGGCTCTCCCACACTTTCGTGATGAAATGGACGGATCATCTGATGGTAAGCTAGTCATAACCATCGCCGATGGATAATTTCTTAAGCTCTCTTATAAATTTGGAGAGCCAAGCTTCGGCACGAATGGGTCGGCTCGACCGAAGTAATACCACGGCCTCACAGAAAACTGGCATGAAACAACCACAGCGTTGTGTTTCGCCGTGTGAATGAGGTTACCGGAGGCCCAATTCCTCCCTCCCCCATCCCTTCCCAATCCTTAAATATACAAAACCCTTATCCCTAAAAGGTCGGCAACACACATGTAACCTTTGTTGTTGCGGGTGTCCATGGGCGACGCTGATTGCTTACCATCAGGTAATCCGTCTGCTCGTCTGCCAACCAATATATGTATCACATACGAAAAGCTATTTTGATCTATGAATCACATAATGATCAATATCGGTTTTACCGTGCGTTCTAGATCAATCAAATTGATACTTTACATTATAAAAAATTGGGTCAACCGGTATCTAAGAATACGGACGGACGGACAACCGTATTATTTCTTAACATACTTTCTTTGAATGACCTGTGTATCACTCTCGATGTTACTTATTATATATTTTTTTCGGATGTAATAGTTCTCAATTCAAAAATGTTATTATTCTATTGAAAACAACTTAAATAATAAATTAGTTTAAAAATCAATAATTTACGTCATTTTTACATTTGTACATTAACTTTGACATTTCTATTATTTTTGGACATTTATTTCATTTTGACATTAAAAACTATATTTTTTTGACTAATTTTTGCCCGCGACTCTGTTCACGTGGAATAGTGATTTCCTGCAGATTTTTTGGTATAAAAACTATCCTATGTCTTTTCTCGAGTTCCAAACTATGTCTGTACCGAATTTCACAGAAATGAGTTCAGTAGAAAAGACAGACAGACAGAGTTACTTTCGCATTTATAATATTAGTATACTTAGGTAGTATATGTAAATTTTTTGGACGTGATAGTTCTTGTGTTGTTATTATTCTATTAAACACTATTTGAAATGATAAATTCGTTTAGAAATTATGTAGGTATAAATATTGATTTTATACATTTCAATTTGACATTCCAAATAAAATGTTTTGACATACATATAATTCGACATTTAATTGATTTGACAATTGAATGATGATTGGTTTAACTATAATAATTATAATAATTATTATTTAACCAATTTGACATTGTTAATGTTAAATTTATTGCTATTAAATTATTTCAGTTTTTTACTAATTTTTACATTGTTTACTTTATTATTTTATGAAGTTTTTTATTTATGCAATAACTAGCTTTGTACCAAATTTCACAGAAATCGGTTAAGTAGTTTAGGCGTGAAGAAAAGACAGACATACAGACAGACAGAGTTACTTTCGCATTTAGGTATAATATTTATATTAGTTTGGACATACATATAAATTGGTTTGACAATTATAATACCTAATAAATTTAATTATAATTATTTAACCAATTTGACATTGTTAATGTTAAATTTGTGCTATTATTTTGACATTGTTTACTTTATTATTTGATGAAGTTTCTTATGTATTCAATAATAATTGTGTGACTTTTTTGTATAATTCAGAATAATGTATTCTGGAATTTCAAAATATTATACATATGTACGCTTTCTGGCATAACATATCGCTCTGTTACCCAACTAATTCTGACCTATATTCTTCATCAATGTCAATATCATCATCATCATCAGCCTATAAGTGTCCACTGCTGAGCAAAGGCCTCTTCTCAGGACATGGTTTGACCATTAATTATCACGCTTGCTGGCAGGCAGATTGGCGATTTCAAACTTATAATTAGAAATGATGTTAACAGATATAAGGACTATGATTATAGGCAAACGAACAGACGGATTACCTGATGGTAAGCCATCGGCGCCGCCCATGGACGGCCGCAGCACCAGAGGAGGAACGAATGCGTTGCCGACCTTTTGGGGATAAGGGGTTTGGAGATTTAGGGATTGAAGGAAGGCAAGGATTTTGCCTCCGGTAACTTCACTCACACGACGGTTTTTGTGAGGTCGTGGTATCACTCCGATCGAGCCGACCCATTCGTGCCGAAGCATGGCTCTCCCATTGCCAGCTTTTTGAGATTAAGGGTATCGGAGATTTAGGGATTGAGGTACTGGGGCATAGGAAGATGCATTGGGCCTCTGGTGACCTCACTCACACGGCGAAACACAACGCTGTAATTGTTTCACGCCCGTTGAAGTCGTGGCCAAAGCATGGATCCCTCAAATACTTAATTCAAATTTTTCAATGGTTAGATAAAAGTTACCCGCGGAATAATTATGATGCTATCGCGTCACAATGTTTGTATTAGACAGAGACAGCAACAATTTCATTCCTCAGATAACATTTATCTGGCTATTGAAAAATCGGCCCTAAATAAAAGAACAAAGAAATTAATATTTTAAATGGTATGAAACCTTAATTAGACTTTAAAAAGAACGTGTTAAGGTATGTAATTGTTTGTCGATTATATCTTGCGGTTTTTCTTAACATATTGGTAACTACATATATATATGTAGATGTTTCCTTGTTTAATAAACATTATATATACATATATATGTACATACTAGCTTTTGCCCGCGACTTCGTTCGCGT